TTCACAGTCATTGCATAGAAAATTTTGGTTCACTTGGTAAACTACACTGGGAAGGGGAAGTACTGGTAAAGTTGTAGTCTAAAGTTTGAGCAAGAGCTCTCATATGGGAGTATAGAGTAGAGCTTAAATCTAGAAGGGGGGAGGGGAAGAGAGTGGGCTTAGGAGCACATCTAGTGCCGAGGGCATCCACCTCAGTGTTTTCACTCATTCAGATTACCACAGTCAACAGACTCATTGCCAATTTCCCAGTTAGGTATGACTGTAAAAGTCATACCTCATGGGCATTTCATATGTAAAACATTTATTTTGTAATTCTGTAGTTAAATGCCACTTTTAATCAACTCTGTCATAGCTAAGCTGTTTGTAATAAACCCAGTGTATCAAATCCTCTTGAAGTGTGAAATAACTTGGTGACATAGATTGTTTGATTGACATCAAAGAAAAGAATCTGACACCAGAAATGTATAACATGGGCAATTTTAGATATAATTATGAAGATTCATATATTTGCACTGCGGTGGAGAGATGAGATTTAGAGATCCTCGCAGCTAAGAACACTACTGAAATGAGTAGTTGTAAATAGGACCTGAAAAAAAAAAATTCAGGCCCGTACGGGATTTGAACCCATGACATCTCCGCCGGTATCGCAGAGGTCATGGGTTCAAATCCTGTACGGGCCTGAATTTTTTTCAGGTCCTATTTACAACTACTCGTTTCAGTAGTGTTCTTAGCTGCAAGGATCTCTAAATCTCATCATGGGCAATTTGTATAAAAATTAGAAATAAAAAAATTACAAACATTCTACTAAATTCATGTAAAGTGTAACACTTGTACCACCTCACCTTATAACTTCAGAGACAACACCTTTAATAGAAAACTCGTCAACAAATGTTTGTACAGCCTGAGCCAGTGGCTGGACAAGATGCTCAAAGTGTTGTAAAAGCTGAACAATCTTCAGACTGATGCCTAGGAGAAAACAACATCAGGAGAAATACTACAAATGATAAATAACAATCACAAGACTGTGTCTTCTCTGTCAGTTCAATTTAATATATCAATGTTTATGGAAGTTTACAAACAAATTCACTCACCCCATTTAAATAGAGTCACAATCATTTTAATTCCATAATTACCTTGCAAAAGAGTGTGTTATTCCAAAAATTATTGTGGCAGCATTAAATTCACAATTCAGAATTATAAAAATTTGACTCACCTAAACCATAGTTGTATTTCTTCACCATTACTCCCAGGAGATTAAAGATCAGATCTTTCGTTGTTCCATTCTTAACAGATGTTGGGTTCTCCAGGAATTTATAGCAACAGCCAGTGACTAAACTGATAAAAAAGCAAAACAGATAGATAATATACCAAAATATTCTTAACAATGATGTGTCAATAACAGAAACAAATCCACTTCAAGTGCAGTTGAACTTGATCTAAACAAGATTCTCCACCCATACTTGACAAATTCTTCTTCTATAATGGGTGGATCCCACAGTCTGTTTACATCAAGCTGCATCAGTTGTCCCAAGGTTTGAATCAGAACGTCACGCTGTTCTTCCCACTCCCATGAAGATGATGTCTTTTTCTTTGAATTGGTGGCCTTTCCCTTCCGCTTGAAAACCAAAAGATAGATAAAATGAAGTTGCAATGTAAACATGATTATCAAATGTAAGAGGAAACCAACATCCAATTAAGTTTTGTCAGTATCTTAAGTAACATTAATATTTTTAGTCATTTTTGGTTTTCAAGCTGATAAAATTAACCTAAAATACACTGCTAAAAAATGCATGGTTGCAGATGTTTTTTGTACCAGGACAACACATTGTCTAAATATAATATACTATAATTATTCCATGAGATCACATTTAATATGAGATGGAAGATAGCCAATAACCATAATAACTATCTCATATAAACCAATCAAAACTCAGGGATCACAAAATATCATGCATAGTTTTTAAACAAATACCTTTCCAGAGACTATGACCTCAGTGGAAGGCTTGGTGGCCTCTACTTCAAATGCATCTGCCAACTGCACTATTAAGTAGCACAACATCTGTAATAAAAAATTGGGTGACAACGATAAAATAATTCAGAAACAACAACTTTTAGTAGATGCTGATTTTTCAAATTTAACAGAGCTAACAATCTTGTGCAAGACCTTAACTCTTAACACTTTAACTCCCAAGACCAGATTGTTAATTCTCCCCTCTAGCTGGTACACATTTCCTTTTAAACAAGTTACACAAATTTAATGTTAGATCAAGGTGACAGCTTATACCTGATAAGTTTAAGTATTCTTATTACCTGTTTGCTGGATTGTGTGTGGATATTGTAGGGAAGTGTTACATTTTAACCACTTCTGGGAGTTAAAGGGTCAATTTGCTTGGAATGAGACCATTTGTTTGAGTATGGCATTAAACTCATTTCCTTGTATTTATCTGTTTTGTCTGTTTATCCACTGGATAGATGTAAGGAAAGAAAGGTTTCTTCCAGAGCCTGTTGATCAGTGGCCCTAGTCTTAACCATCTGACCCCTAAGAGTGACTGGCATCTAATTTCTCCCTACAACATTATCCCTGAATCACACATTGAGGTCACAAGAAAAAAAGGAAATGATCACCAAATAAAGAAGCTCTTGATTGTTAAACAAAGTATCTATGTCGGCCCCAGAAGAGAATATCCATACTAGTGCTAGTGTCTAAAGGGTTAAAGGATTGCAGCCCATGAAATGAAACTATAAATGCATTAACTATAACAATAATGTACTTGACGTAATTTCAATACCTTAAGAGTATTGAGATGTGTCCTTCTAACTTGAAAATCAATGTCTCCATCTTCTAAAATTTCTGGAAGTACATTTGTGAACTGGCAGAGAACTAAATGAAAGGCACACAAAATTTGTTTTTCATTAAAAGAAGTTCAACTCTTCCTTATCAAATTCCCTATGTCATGAAAAGGCCTAGTATATTTTCACACTTTTACCAGTCCTGTTGACTGGCAAATCAATATTCAGTAGAGCTCACCATGAAATAAAAATAAATTTCATGTTAATGCATTTAAAGTGTAAACTTACAGTGTACAAGAATTATCATTGTAAACAGTCAAAATGACTGCTGAACCTAAAGTATGTATGGGCAAATGCAACAAAGAGATGTGTTTTTCATTGCTGTGGGACAAAAAAAAGATCTGAGTCCCCACAAATAAAATAACTTTGAATTAGTGCTTTGATGCTCCACCAATGTTCTGTGGAGAACTCTGTGCTGAGCCACACTTGGTATGTAATGGCCTACAGTACTGTCAGGCTCATCACAGAGTTTCTGGTAGCACCATGGTGGAGCATCAAAGCCCAAATCCAAGGGTAAGGGTTCTGGTTCTTCATGAGCAGTATCCTCCCTTATTTCAAGCACCAAAGGGAAAATAAATTTTCAAACTGGTAGAGCAATCCTTCAGCACGTTGAATTTCCAAGAAATCACGTGTTTTTTGGTACTACAAGCAGTAAATTTTGTTAGCTATCCAAGGATAGCTGTTATTTTTAGTTTTTAGCCTGGATGATACCCGTTTTCCCCGCTATAGTAAAATCTACTTGGAACTTTCTTATCAGGTCTTAATTCCATTGTATACAGTCATACATTTTCTTCTTACTGTACATATTTTTAAAACTGTTGTGTAACAATGAATACCTTCAAGCAATATATTCCAAGTGCTCTCTCGAAGAGAACTGTCCACTTCATTAAAATGTCTGCAAGGAAAAATTGTCTGATTTGAAGTTCATGTGGTTGTAAGGTTAAACAATTCTTTTTAAAAACACAAGTACACCTTACCCTTCCAGCTGTCATTGCTACGCATTAAGCCGATTGGTAAGGGCATGTGGAAGTTGGAAAATGGTGGGACAGACATAGGGTTTAGATAAACAGTAACGAAGAAGTAATCTTACCTCAAAAGACTGAACAAGCAGTCAAAGTTTTGGACGATGGCAGTGGGTACACCAGATCGAAGATCAGACAAGCATTCTGAAAGTTGGTCAACATGACAACGTAAACAGAAAAGCGTAAAAAAGCGGCAAATGTTTCGTCAACTACAATAAAATCTACCTCGAAGTTTGTTCGGAAGAACACGCACTGAGAGAACTTCGTCCACAACGTAAGATCCTTCTTCACTGCTCAATAAATCGTCCTTACACAAGGGAATTACAAAGTCTTCATCCATAATTTGTATCTCTATTTCGGTAAAAGTGTATATAAGGTTCTGTCAATTAAAAAATAAAGGGAAACTTCACTTTTCATTCCAAATAAACACCCAGTAAAAATGGCCGCCTTTTTTCGAACGGAGAAAATCGGCCAATCAAAAAGTCTTGATACCAGTCTCTCCTCTGGCAATTTTTCTCGTTCCCATTTCTCTTCTTTCCTTCCCTACCCTTTCCCATTTGGTCGATTACTTTCAAATTAGGAATCTTTCCTTTATCTGATGTTTCTTTCATAACATACCCAGATTTCCTCCTATGTTGGTACTAGATGACACAGTTAGTTCATTAATTAGCAATCCACTTACCATGTTTACAGATTCTTTTGTTTTGAGTAAGTTTTTATTTCAATCCCACAAGGCTCATGTATTTTGAAATTTTCCCTGCTTTATTATTTCTTCCAAAAAACAAAATAAATGAAAAGAAATAATGAATGATTAAAAAAACTGATCAGCAGAATAAAGAATGATTTGAAAATGTATTATATTTACCGCCCCACCCCCACCCCCCTGCCAACACCTTAATTCCTGTGGTAGGGACTAAACACGAAATGGTCACACGATACACTTACGCGCGTGAGGAAGAAAGGAGGAAAGAAACGCGCGAGCTGAGCAAAAAACTCGTGAGCTGACTTATTCTCACGTGTAAGAAGCAGCCCTTGAACTCGGCCTCATAAATAACAAATGTTAGAAAGAAAAAGATTTCAGAACAGGAGGAGGAAAAAGTCAGCTATTTTGGTCAAGCGACTGTTAAGAAGTGCAAAAGAACCGTTGAACTGGCTGGCTTGACATCGGAAAACTCTGTGGGGAATACAGTGCTTTCAACGAAATATTTTGATTGCTTTTTCATGTCTCCCTCTGCATAAATAATTAATCACATTGCGTGAAAGGACAACAGAGAAAGTCGAAGTTAACGCGGCAAAAAGCAAATCGTACATCAACTGGTTGGATTTCAAGTTAATGAAGGGGTGAGTTTCTAAAGAAACTGTGGTGCTGCGTCGGTGGGAGAGTATAGCAGGTAATTTAGTGTTAACAACTGAGTTGAAAACGTAAATTGACCACCTTAAAGGGTAAAAAAAAGCTGACGTTTCGAGCGTTAGCCCATGGACGAAGGGCTAACGCTCGAAACGTCAGCTTTTTTACCCTTTACGGTGGCTAATTTACGTTTTCAACTCAGTTGTTAACACTAAATTACTTGGATTTCAAGTTAGTTTCATTCCACAATCAGCAATATGACTAAGACTTACGCCTCAAATTACTCCATGTTTTAGCGAATGCAAATTTAAAACAATTCTTAACCTTTTAGATGGTTGATTGCGCTCAGATCACTCTCATCATTAAAAATTAATGGAAGTTTCTTTAAAATCTTGTTAGTTGGGGAAAAAGCCAAGTATAAAGTTATAAAAAAATTTGAAAGTAAAAATTTTCAAGAAAAAGAGAAAAATTAAAAATCTGTTGGCTTTACGCCAGGTGAAACGAATGAAGAATGTTGCTTAGCGGGGAGTTGTTATCGAAAATTATTATGTTAATAATCAAAAGCCTTGAGGATTATACATTTGCATATCAAATTTAACAGTAAAAAAGTTGAAATAATTTCCTACACTAGTGGCTACGTAGCATCTGAAAAGATATCAAACATGAGCGCTAGGTTTCTCCACTATGAATTTATTTCTGTTACAGCTCCTTAAATTATGTGACCATTTCAGTTCTCAAACCCGTGGCAGCTGGCTGGTGTGCATTTCGAACAATCAATCGAAAATTAACAAGGCTGAAGACAACAAGAGTTTAACAGCAGAACACAAAATGCGTGAATGATCCATGACTTGATTTGAACATTATGGAGCGTTTGTCGACAACATTGGGCAGGAAGAAAGCAGTAGATCCCAGTACCATCCACACAACACAACTATCTCGCTGTTTGAGCAAGTTTGATTTAACCTCCCTCGGCGTCGCTGCTACTCTTGGAGCAGGAATATACATATTAAGCGGAACATTAGCGCGAGGTGTGGCGGGACCAGGGATAGTCATATCGTTCTTCATCGCTGGATTGGCAAGTTTATTGGCAGGACTCTGTTACGCTGAGTTTTCGGCGCGTGTTCCGCGCGTTGGTTCGGCTTACACGTTCGCTTACGTTACAATCGGCGAATTATGCGCTTTTATAATCGGTTGGAACTTGTTCCTTGAATATGTAATTGCAGTGTCGTCAATGGCTCGCGCTTGGAGTTCGTACTTGGATGCTTCTTTGTTAAATGACGCTATCAAGAACTTTACGATCACGGGAATTGGAAAACTCGGCGTTTCCGGAGTAATCGTGAGCTACCCCGACTTTTTCGCGTTTTTTCTGGTATTAGTTGTTTCCGCGATTTTATGCTTCAAAGTGAAATTTACCTCAGTGACAACTAATGTTATAACAACGGTAAACATTCTTGTGATAATATTTATTATCATATTTGGAGCCATCTTTGCCGAGAGAAAGAACTGGACGGATGATTTTTTGCCCTATGGTTTTTCAGGCGTCCTCACAGCTGCAGCACCTGCCTTCTTTGCGTTTGTGGGATTTGATGTGATCGCAACCGCAGTGGAGGAGTCGAACAACCCTTCTAAGGATGTACCAGTCGCCATGATCCTTACAATTGGTAAGTTGTACTTGTAAGAGTTCTTGAGATCATGTATTTTTCGCACACCGTTGTAAGTAACTCAATTCAAATAATTAGCGCTTTGGGGTTGAGTGGTAATTTTTCCTCATTTAATATGGACCATAGCAATTATTTATTATTAAGAAAAAGCAACCGTAAAGTGAAACACGCACACACACACACATACAAATTAAAAACAAGCAAAAAAAAAACAAAAAAAAAAGATAGGCGATAGATTAAGATCTGAACACGTCTCATCACAGGTGAACAAGTTTAAGTGTGTAAGTCTGTCAGTTGTTTGTCATCGCGTGCTGCTGTTCAACACGGGTTATACCTAACTTTCCTTCAGACACCGAAGGTAAAAATTTCAGCATAGCTTAGCTAAAGATGAAGGCTAACTATTTTAATTTTCACGCAAGGAGCATGCATCGCGTTTAAATCGGGGTGTTTTGCTTAATATGCCTTTTGCTTTCACTTACTCTTATTGGCGCCAGAGGGGTGTTCTTTTGATTTAAAAATCCTTGACTCAAACGGAACAAATACAGAGTCTAGAAGGTATCCAGAACTTTTGATAACCACTTGAATCTCAGCGACTGAATCTCTTCGAAAAAAGTATAGAAATCTGTTGTCGTCTTCCCTGTCTAGATAAACAAATATGTAGATTTGGACCCCGGTACCTTTCGGCTAGCAAAAACTATTATCAGCGATTGCAAAAATTTTTATGTGTAATGGAAAAAGGAAGTGGCTCAAGAGATACCTTGGACCTCCTGACTTAATGAAATGAGCGTGAATTTCCTGCTGTACGAATTTGGACCTGTAATTGGTTAAAAGTTACGTGTTGAAACTCTCGCTTGGAATAGAGGGTCTCTATAGGGTGATGGCTTTAACGGTAACCGGTCGTTTCGCCAACGACCAATCAGTATATAAAGGGCTGCGAGTTCTGTTCATTTCGTTCAATTTGGCTTCACGATCACTCGACAACTAGCAATCAATCACCGCGTTATACAAAATGGAAAGTTTTTAATTGTATCTTCTGCGCCGAAGAAGTCACTTCACGTCAGGAAGCGCTTTTATGTGATGGCTGCGACAGGTGGCAACACCGGCGATGCCAGACAGGCATCACGAGGGAAGACTACAGGGCTGCAGTGCGATCAGGAGAGGAAATCTTTTGCGTAAATTATTGGTTAACTTAGTTAACAGTAGTTAATATAATGATTTGAAAACGTCTTTATAAGGGCGGGTGCCACTCTGATGGCCCACACGTCCCCGCATGTAATAAGGTATTTAAATTTAAATGAATCGGTTAATTTGATAGTAGTTGACGTAGTTTGCTTATAACGTTTGTGAACTGACTTCTACACGTTTTCTAAACGATCGTCGGCGAAACGACTCGTAGGCGAAACGACCGACATTCGCTTTAACAGCTAACGGTTAAAAGTATGGCCATTGTACGGCCTTCAGCTAAATTCTTTACGTTACATTTTTGCGGTTAACTTCCTATACGACTAACGGTTAGAATTTGTCAATGTTTACACCTAACGCAAATTTTTTTCAGACCCTCGGGACAGAATAATGAAACACCGGTACTTTTATTCATGATCAAGCTGGAAAGTATAGTTTCTTTCAGGAGATATTCAGCTGTTTTTGTCATTAATTTACCTCCTTGTTCTCAAAGGAGTTTTCATACTATCATGGTGTTCGAACGAAGATAGCCGTTTGTATACTTGAAAGATTTCATTTTTCTTGAGGTCAGTATTATGTGAGAAGTCGTGGATAAATTTCTTGATAATTGTAGAACCGTTCACGCGCGCATTGGTCAGATTGCTTGCGAGCTATTGTTAGTTTTACGAAATTTTCCACCGTCTATATTCTTATCGCTCGTGGAAATTAAATCAAAGTGAGCAAAATTAAAGTGAAACCACAAAGCGAAGTCTTTAAGCGTTGCACACAGATCACTTCCATTTACGCGCACCATTCTAACCAAAAAACAATTCAAATGCAAATAAGCCTCATGTAAAATTCTAAGATTTACTCTCGACAGAACATTTTAGCTAAAGTCCGTGCCTGATGTCCGTAACTGAAAATGACAATCGATCTTATACTTAACCGGATCAAAGCTCTCGAAAATAGAATTAATTTTAGGCGAGATAAAATACAATTAGTATTGCCAACATTTCTTTCATCCAAATGGCTCGCCATAATCGATCGGCCATAATTATTCATTAAGCTGAAATATATATCCGAAGCCCGCGCTTATGTGGTGTGTGTGACGTCATTTCATGGTCATTAGCTCTCGACCAATGAGCGCGCGGAAATTTCTCCTGTGATTGAAAAGAAAAGTATCAAGAGAGATAAATTGAAGTCGATTTGTCAAGGAGACTTTTCCTCTTCTATAATGTTGGGTTCACCGTGAAAAAAAAAGAAAATTGAAAAATCTTAAAAGCTTTACGACAAAAGCGGCAAAGGCAAAAGACAACAAGCACATAATGAAGAGATTTAGATGTAAATTGTAACGATCTGGAAACGATCTGTTTGAGTTCGCCGACACGAACTGTTCATTTCGATCTGCACTTAAAACAGCGACGATTCGGCTGACGATGTTGATGTAAAACCAGTCAAATTCATGGTTCAAGGGATCGCACACCCAAAAATGGCTTACCTTTTGAAACGATTCACTCAAAAGAAACTCGTGGATCCCGAGACTTTGTCGCAATCTGAACTGTCTCGTTGTTTATCGATATTCGACCTGACCTCTTTAGGGATTGGCAGTACCCTTGGAGCTGGGATCTATGTGTTAGCGGGAGAAGTTGCTCGATCTATGGCCGGACCGAGCATTGTTGTATCTTTCTTCATAGCTGCCGTCGCTTCCATTCTATCGGGGCTGTGTTACGCCGAATTCGGCGCTCGTGTTCCCAAAGCTGGTTCCGCTTATATCTACAGCTATGTAACGGTCGGAGAACTCTGTGCTTTTGTGATCGGTTGGAACTTATTTCTTGAATACGTTATCGGCGCTTCTTCTGTAGCTAGAGCATGGAGTGACTATTTCGATTCTGTTCTTGACGGGAGAATCCGTAATTACATATTGACCCACATTGGAGAAATTCATACATCTGGACTCTCAAGATACCCAGATTTTTTTGCCCTCGTGCTCTTGTTGCTGGTGACTTTTGTTCTTGTGATTGGAGTTAAGAATTCTTCGAGATTCAACAACATATTTACCGGCATAAATCTTTTGGTGATTTTATTCATAACTTGTGTTGGAACATACTTCGCCAGAGGTGAGAATTGGACAAATGATTTTACACCGTTTGGAATTTCTGGAGTTTTCACGGGAGCGGCGACATGTTTTTACGCTTTCGTTGGGTTTGACGTTATTGCTACGACTGGCGAAGAGGCAAGAAATCCAAGCAGAGCGATTCCTATATCTATAGTTCTGTCCTTAGGTAAGGTCATAATCCGGTTAATTCTGTTTATGGAATGAATTCCACCCATGCCAAAGACAATTGATGCATGGTTTGATCTGTCAAAATTCACCGACACGATTTAAGACAAAAATACTACCGACTAAAAAACATGTCGGTGACTGCAAAATTTTCTCTCTTCGCCGGACGGCTAGTTCAAAAAAGATCAAAGTGGTCATTTCGCAGCATTTAATTTCCTTCAAACACCGCTTCACTGATTATAATGGCTATTTGTTAAGAGCAGTTAACAATTTCAAATTCAGTTTCCTCTTGATTAATCGTAGACTTTGACAGCTGGAATTATAGCCGACGATTTTTCCAGCACTAAAATGAGTTGGTTGTAATTTGCCGTTATATTACTCTTTGCTTAAAAGTTTTGTTCTCATCAGCCGCTGTGATGGTCACCGGCAGAACCTGTAGCTACTTGTTATCCTAAAATAACCAAGATGGAATCCTTCATTTACATACAATTTCAATCATTGGTTATTTTAGCTTCGTTTGGTTAATTTCCCGTTTATATGAAAATCCCCTCCATACATCTCCTCTGCACTTGCGTAAATTTATAGGACGGGAATCCCTCGAGTACAAATTACTCTTCAAATATTGAAATATTGTTACAACGCTGAGTCACGTTTCACGTTTCGAAAGATCAACCGCATTCTCTGCAGAACAGCTGTAGCGTTAGTGATATAAACGTTCTAGATATTAAGTGGTAAGCCGAGCACATGCATCTGGTCGGCGGTTCTTATGTTTAAGATCATTTTGTTTTAAAAACTGAACTGATAATGTAAATTGGCCACTGCAGAGGGTTTCTCAAGCTTAATATTAATACAACAACAAGCAGTCAAATGATGAGAATAATGGAAGATATCACTTGGGAGATTATTTGTTATCCACCCAAACTTTTATCTTTGAGATTTCTTGCCAATATGGTACAACTGTTCATGTTACTATGGACTAATTTGAATTATACGCATCCTTTTTGCCATCAAAGGAATTTGTTTCGTGGCCTATTTTGGGGTCTCTGCCGTGCTGACTCTCATGGTGCCCTATAACCAGTTAGCTGAACGAGGTGCTCTGCCAGAGGTGTTTGCGATGCGAGGAGCTCCATGGGCCAAATACATCATAGCTGTGGGAGCCCTCTGTGGATTGACCGCATCTTTGATTGGAGGCCTGTTCCCTCTACCCAGAATGCTGTACGCCATGGCAAGCGATGGCCTCATTTTCAAGTAAGCAACTTCATTTTAAGCCTGCTGGACGCATTTCTCGTCCTTGAGTCTCCGTTATTATAAAGGCTAACTTAAGTGTATTTCTATGGCATAAAGATACATATTTTGTAATAAGTGATTACACATCGTCAAGATCCGAGTCTTTTTTAGTGCAACATTTCCGCTGATTAATTCTCTCTTCCGTAATGGTACGTGACAGAAATATTGTCTTTCACTTAGGCGTAGTTTTTGTGGTTTCTAAGGATTATTATAATTCTTACATTTTTAAAAGATTTCTTGCCAAGGTACATCCAAAGACGGAGATTCCAGTTATTGCCACCGTCCTGTCTGGGGCCCTTGCGGCGTTCTTGGCCCTCATATTCGACCTTGAAGCTTTGGTTGAAATGATGTCCATCGGTACCCTGTTAGCGTACACAATAGTGGCCCTGTGCGTGTTGTTGCTTCGTTATCAACCCGGCAGTGTAGGAATCGTCAAAGGAGGGGAAAAGATTTTCTTAACTAACGAAGAAACTGCAGACCACGAGGCCCCGAGGGAAGACACTCGATTGACGCAAGAAACTGATGGTCCGACTTTGCAAACTGCACGACTCGCTGCCATTGGAATCTATTGCAACGTAGCGATGTACTTCTTCATAAGTATTCTTCTCATCTGGGGAGGCCATGCTATTTTGAATGGGCGAGCATGGGCCATCTTCATGGCATGCTTATTAGGGATCCTCTTGGTCACTTTCATCGTGCTCCTTGTACGACAGCCCCAGAACAAGACGCCCCTGCCATTTAAAGTGCCATGTGTTCCGGCCATACCACTGTTCTCGATCTTCATTAACGTTTTTCTGATTCTGAAGCTTAACTACTTGACGTGGATTAGGTTCGCCGTATGGATGACAATAGGTGAGTTAAAGGGTTTAATGGGGGGGAGTACTTGGAACGATGTTACTGTAGAAATATTTAAAATTGTTTGGAATTAAGTTCAGCCTTAGCAAGAGATTGTATAATCATAGTTGTTTAATGCGAAGATATCAGTGCATACAACAAAATATTAATGAAACTACCTAGACCTTGTTTTCTGATGCGACCTGTGGTCTCGTTTTGAGGGTCTTTTACGGACCAACTTTGAAATTACCCATATATCTACCGCACTACAAACGCTTACTGACAAATCAAGACGCAAATGATAATCTGCCGAGGACTTCGTTGCGGCCTTCAAAACTGTGAAGATACCTGACGACGGCAAACTCGTGTCAACTGGTGTCAAAGGATTCTTCACTATTATTCCACTTCTACACTATCGATACAAGGTGTCCGCTTCATATGGGACCCGCCTAAGACAGGTTTCCGGCTGTAGCTGGATAAATTCAATGGTTGTGTTTGAGTATGACTTTAAGTATGAAGATATACCCAGTCCTCATACTGTTTAGGTTATCACCTGTAAAAATTTGTAATCACACTGATTGGACCAGGTGTAAATTTGCTCACTCCATTCATACAACCTGTGGAATGTGACAGTTCGTGCCAATAGTCGATTCACTCCTCAAACGCTTCATCAGAGCGCTTAACAACCAAAGGTGATTCATTCAAAACCTAGCGGAGCATAAAAAACTTTTTGGAGGGCGACTTCCCTCAGAGCAAATAGTTCGAAAGCGGACGTGATTGATGAAAATCCAACGGTGCGATCCCGTAGGCTAATACATACAATTAAGTTTTTGTTTACAAACAAGTAGATTTTTGTTAATCGGATATGGTGACTGTATTTCGCCTCCTTGATTTCATACTTTCCTTATTGATGAGTTTTGTTCACAAAAAATGTCCAAAGCTTATATTGCTATAATGACCTTCCTACGCTCGCAGGCCCTAGTAAGCTTACATACTTCCTTTGTCACTAAATGCGCACTCCTGAAATTAAAAAAAAAAAAAAAAGAAGAAAATTGAAATGCTCGACGAATGATGTGTAAAATCAATCGAAACTTGTACGCAAATTGTCCACACTTGCATCCTTGATCATTGACTCCGCTGCGGGCACATGAATTGGAAGCAATCGTAGATGTCAATATTCTGTTTCACATTTCAATGTTGCTTCCGAAAGCAAGAAATTGATCTCGTTGATTTTGACATTAACCATGCGGTAGATTACTTTATTTACACGTGCCACATTCATACTACCATGTTTAACTTCAAAGACCAACAATCCGTATTATCTACCTGTAACAACCTGCTCACACCATTCAACCAATTGTGGCTCGTTTATCAAAATACAGTTTCTCCCAAAATCTTCAGAACAGGACAGGCATTCACAGACAAAAGTTCAGCAGTCACCTTCTGGGGGATGTTATATTAAAAAGCTGTTTTCTCACAACCGGTGGAGCGCTTAAAGAGTTGGGAGAATATAAAGACTGAGAATGGACGAGTCTACCTGGCGCATTTGTAATCCCAAAGGCATTTGTTGGTCGTCAGAGTTGTGAGCACTGAAAAATCGTATACAGGTTACAAGATCCATCGAATTTGATATGCTTTTTTAATAAGGAAATCCTTAAATGTCAATTGCTTCTTTAAAAATTAGGGCTGTGCAGAGAACTTGTCTTTCCTGATCGAACAATGGGATGTCTTTGGCAGTTTTCACGACGAAAGTTTATTTCTCTTGAGAAATTAGGAGAGACAAAACTCTCTCGATGTCTCTCACTTCTTGATCTTACCGCCCTCGGCATCGGCTGTACTTTGGGAGCTGGTGTGTATGTAATCGCCTGTGAAATTGCTCGAGATGTAGCCGGCCCGGCGACAGTGATTTCATTTCTTATCGCTGGTATTGCCTCTGTCTTGTCAGGACTTTGTTACGCTGAATTTGGTGCTCGCGTGCCAAAGGCTGGATCAGCTTACATCTACAGTTATGTAACTGTTGGCGAGCTTATAGCGTTTATAATTGGTTGGAACCTTGTGATGGAATATATGATCGGAGCTGCCGCTATCGGTCGAGCTTGGAGTGCGTATTTCGATTCTATGCTACATGATAAAGTTCAACTTTGGGTTTTAGAAAATATTGGACCAATACGGATCGATGGACTTGGGGGATACCCGGATTTTTTGTCAGCAGGAATCATTTTTGTCTTGATGATTATTCAGCTGTTTGGTGTAAAGAAATCCACCGTGTTCGTTTCTGTCGTGACTTGCGTTAACATAATCGTGATCCTCTTTATAATCGTCATGGGTATAACTTTAGCTAGACCAGAGTATTGGTCAGATTTTATGCCTTACGGTCCCACAGGAGTATTGGCTGGTTCGGCTACAGCCTTTTTCGCTTTTGTTGGATTCGACGTTATTGCGACTGCTGGCGAAGAAGCCGAGAACCCTAGTAAGACCATACCACTTTCAATTATGTTGGCACTAACGGTTTGTTTTTTGGCATACTTCGGTGTCTCTGCGGCGGTGACATTAATCTGGCCTTACAACAAGTTGGATTATGGCGCGGCCTTACCTAAAGCTTTTGAACACCGAGGAGCAGATTTTGCAAAATACATCATTGCGGCTGGTGCTCTTTGCGGAATGACAGCTGCTATAAATGGAGGGCTTTTCCCTTTACCTCGCTTACTGTATGCCATGGCTAACGACGGATTAATTTTTAAGTGCTTTGCGTATGTAAGTAAAAACACCGAGGTCCCTTTTGTAGGTACTATTTTCTCCGGGATTCTCGCGGGTATACTAGGAATGATCTTTGAACTGCAGGCCCTTGTAGAGATGATGTCTATAGGTACCCTCCAAGCATATACCATCGTCTCCACATCGGTTTTGATTCTCAGATATCAACCTGGGACTGTAGGCTTTGTCAAAAGTTCTGAGGAGCCTGAGTCGAGCTCTGAATTAAAGGAGCCTCAACAACAACCAACAGAACGGTCAGGGAGAATTTCAAGATGTATCATATGGTTCCTTTTCTTTTACTTCTTCGGTCTCAGTGCGTTCTTGATCAATGGGCTCATTCCAATGTATGAAGGAGAACTATGGGCCGTTATTCTGGCCGTGTTGTTGGTCATAGCTTTTGTAGCTGCAGTCGTAATGTTGTCTATGCAGCCGAAAAGTATAACGCCATTACCATTCAAAGTTCCGCTCGTCCCAGGCCTCCCTTTGTCATCAATGTTTATTAATATCTATTTGATGATGGAGCTTAATCCAGCCACGTGGATGAGATTCGCTGTTTGGATGGCCATAGGTGTGTGTGTTTCCTTTTTCCGGCCGGTCATGAAAAGATAGGCATGCAATGCATGCATAGAGAGATTCTACCATGCTAAATTAATGGTTAGAAGCCAGGGTGCTTCCCCGTTAAGTTTCCTAATACCAGAACCGAATCGAAACAGCGAGTGCAGCCAAAAGTTAAACTCGCAAGAAGTTAACAAGAGCTCAAAGAAAATACATAAAGTCGATGCTAAGAGCGGGATTTACGATTAGTTTATTTAATTTTGCACTCAATCATTTGAGCGAGTGGCGTAAGTTTCCTGGACCTATCACAGAGCAGAGAGAACAATTGCGTTTTTTACTTCCTTACGTTGATTCAAAATTTATTTTAGGGCCTTTTTGAAATTCCCGACTCTAGCCGCCGTTTGCTGGATACCTGAGAATTGCGTATCTATTTCATGGTCCGGCTTATCAACTAGTTTTCTGTAAAAAGTCTTCTCCCTCGCTGGAACTCTTACTAAGGAAAGAGGGAATCACTTCGGTTAAGAGTAAACCTTATATAGCAAAGTTTCTTAGTCAGGAATTTTGTCTAAAGCAAAGCTGTTTCAAAACCTAGCTAGAAATCCTGGACTTAACTGTTGTGCAATTCGTTGCAAATCTGCGGGAAGAGGAGAACTGTTGGGCACCAGGAGACCAGAATATTTCTTGGATAAAAAAAAATATATGGCAAACATACTTTTATTTAAAGGGGGTAAGTTTCTAAAGAAACTGTCGTGCTGCGTCGGTGGGAGAGTATAACAAGATAATTTGGTGTTATCAACTGAGTTTAGAACGTAAATTGGCCACCGTAAAGAGATTCAAAGCTGACGTTTCGAACGTTAGCCCTTCGTAAGAGCGGATTGGCTCTAATGAAGGGCTAACGCTCGAAACATACTTTTATTTAGCTAACTAGGGAACCAAACTCACTTGATATCACATGCAAAGAGTCGAACTGATACCCTCATTATTTACTCTACAGGTCTGTCCATTTACATTTTCTACGGCCTCCGACACAGCGTGGAAGGGAAGCGACAACATGAACAAGAGGGATACGTTCCCTTAGAAAGAATTGACGGCAAAGATGATCAAGATAAGGATGTCGAAACTTTAGAGTGAAATAGCTGAAAATAATTATGATTCAACAAAATACAGAGATTATATTGAGGTTTGCAGGGCGTTAGGTTTTACAAAATTGTCAATTCCGTTTAATATTTGAAGATTTATTTGAAAAAGATCTACAAATGTAATGATACGAAACATTTCTTTGGTAACACTAAATATAGTCAATATCATTTGTTTTAACATTCTCTTGATGTTGTCATGGCAACCATTCATTGATATCTAACTTTTTCCAAGAAAGACCAAGACAAATCTTCTCTAAATGTTATAGAGTATGAGTGAACATATCTTCATTACGTCTCATTCTTCAATGAAAGGCATATTCAATACTCTTCTATTAGTTGAAATTTTTTTCCTGTAGTTGGACTTCCCACTAAACAAGCTTTATCATTCCAACTGTGGAAGAATGTATAAGGAGCTTTAGTAGAAAAGAACAAAGTCCGGCAGCCATGTTTTGAAACTGTTTGTAAGAGAGGAATCGTGACAGGTTTCAGAAACGAATTGCACGTAAACATAACCATAAAACCCAGTTAATCATTTCAGTATGAAAATTTATTAGACTAGTAATTATATGATATACTAAGAGTTTGAGAAATCAGTATATTCTTCAGGTCAGTCGGTCGAGCTACAAACGTTATAGTGAAATCTGTGGTAATCCTGGTGGACCAATAAAAAGAAATGATGCATACATAATAATCCATCAGACACATGCTCTCTGTTGTGCCAATTTTTATTTAAACTCATATTATCCTGTATGAAAATTACTAGCTTTGCAGCTGCATCGCTCATCCAGTCGTGTTTACTCCTTAAAAAAATATATATATAGCGGTTGGTATTGACAAAAATAACGATTTCGGCTCCACTACGCAGTACAACATGAATTAGAAAAACCATTAAGTTTATTATGGCTGTTTCGGCCGAGCACCGCGCATATAACATTACGTTATACAACAACCTTTATTACATTCAAACATGTGGAGGAAAAACTAGAACAGAGCTGAGCGACAGTTTACACTGAATACAGTCAGAACAGAGGCCAGAAAAAACCTGCCGGAAAAAACCCCAATAGGGAAAAAAACTCAGGAAATCTGGGTAGGATCCGTGGCTCATGCTCTGAAAAGCCCATCCTACGAAGGCTACACGGCTGGAAGGTCTTTGCCCTTATTTACTACACATGTATTCCAACAAAGCACGGAAAACTCTAAATAATTTTAGGAAACGCAAATAAGCTAAGAAACCCCTGCGAAACTCGAACTGTCACTAGTAAATCAAATATATACTAAAAAATAACGTGAGCAAGACGAGGTGTCGGCCTAGAATGCTTTCCCACGTGATAAACATCCCTTTTATAGCACTCCATTCTACCCATGCTGCACTTAAACTGCCCTAGTCTCCACTGCTCCCGTGCCGCAGAAATATTTTATTTCCGGCTAATTCGTATCCACTCAAACGCCGGAAATTCCATTTCTTAGGATGAGCGTTCGTAGCTTGGACGTGAAAATATGCGAAGGGCAATATTCATCGACTCCTACTGTGCCAGTATTTCTTACTTACTTCATTTTGACGTCATAAACGACCACGACTGAACAGACACGGAAACATGAAATCCTTTTGATAAGTAGAGGATAATATTCGAGTGGTATATCAGAGCATATCTCTCTTGTCACTTGTATTTTCTTTCTATTAACTCGTGCATCCAGGCTGATGTGTATATCATGGAATACACGCGTATCGTGGGATATTTCGTGGTATTCCACGTGAAAGAAAATGTTGCACAACATTATATTATATATGAGGTGCAAACGTCAATTCCTGTGATCCATTAAGATAAATTGAATATTAACGTTCAAAACCCTTTCACATGAACTAAGAACTAAGCTTCTAAGCTTTTGTTTTGTCTACGTTTCACACTCAATTGATTCACTTGAGATCACAATTGTTTCCTCAGAAATTTGCCTATTCAAAACCAATAAACCGAGGTAAGATATTGTTATACCTGTCTGTCAATCTGTACTAAAAATTGACTGATATTTGTAATTTTGCAATGATTTACAGTATTAACTTAAATAAGGTATAAAATAAAATAGCTCATCGTAAGTTCGCAACGATTGTTGCGAAATGCGTCGTCACTACAAAATCTCCTGCTAACAACTGTTACGTCAATGGGAGGAGTCGAAATATAAATGATTATACTCGCATCAATTCATTTTTCAGCGAAAATTAATGAAATAACAATGAGCCTTTTTATCAAAGTGGAAAGACACAGAAAACCTTTGTTAAAAAGTTGCTATCTTTCCTTAAAAGTCAAAATTTTGAGTAATCTTATTTTCTTAAGAAAGTTTTTCCACACATTGAGAACATCAAGATCTCATTTCAATTCTCTCGCTTAGAGCACAGCTGTGATTGAAATGTAAATTCAGTCTTGCTGTTTCCTTTTAGGTGTAATATCCTGGGTCTTTGAATATTGACCGAAGGATGCACAAAACATGATGAGCAAACAAACAAAAAGCCTTCAGCAGAATCGGTGATATATAAGCTAATTAGCAACGAACGAGGTCATTAGTGAAGAAAGCTTCGTCCAGTTCAGATTAATTTCAACCACTTTGCATGTGACTGGATAATTTAATGCAAAAATGATTCCATTAGATGAGACGAATAATACCGGATACGAAGGACATAGGGGTCCTGAGGCAGCTTCGTCGCAAGACTTCTTTGCAGTATCCCGAAATCAAATGGAGGAAAGGAACTTGAGAACAAGACTTGGGTCTATTGACCTCGAGGAGAAAAGAGCGCTTAGACGACTAAGCTCAGAAAAGAGATTGTTAAAAATCAAACAAGAAAAACGCTTGGGAAGTTTGACGTGCAGAAGAAATAGTGTCAATGGAGGACAAATAAACAACTCAGGAAGTTCGACTCCTCTTTCAGCGGTTTGTGCATTGTAGACTTGTTTGATATTTCTTTTATGACCCACTCAAGAAAATTAACTCGGGAAAGCATAAATATGATGGATAACTTTTGACTTGATTAGTTCCCAGTTAACTTGAGTCTTCGTCAACAGATTAAAAGTTGACAAATAAAGTGGAAACCCAGAGTCTATGGTTCCCAGGTGTGAGGCTAAATCACGAAGCGATATTGAAACTGATGAGAAGATTTCTATCAAAAAATTAAAAAATTACCCGATCAAGTTTACATGCGTTTCGATTAACAAAACAAGACCACTTCAAACGGAAAGATCTCCTCACATCGTCACATAGAATTGTAATTTTCTCGTCTTAAATTGTATCAAACATGTTTACTTTAAGCTGATCAGTGTTATGTTTGGGAGCTTTAAGTAGCAATCGAGGTAACTGAATTTATGGCTGAGTATTTGCGAGGAAGAGGATCCAGGACCCAAGGATCCAAAACTTCACCGATACGAATAAAGAACAACAAACAATAACAAATCACTAAGAGTATAGCTGGTGGTCCAGCTGTGTAGGCGAGCACGTACACATAATCAGGAATCCCATGATGCAACAATGCCACCCATGTGTTTCGTGTTATACTTCAGAAAAAATTTTCTTTGAACTGCGCATTTAAAATTTTTAATATTCCCTTTGAATTCAAAACTACACTCTACAGGGCACACCATGTCAGTTTGACTTAGTGAAGTTGCAGTTCAAGGCTGACAAACGACGGCATTTGAGTTCTACTGACAGTGTAGAGTCGCCAGGAACCACAAAAGGAACTTCACCATCAACTCTTGACGAATTCGCCCAACCCTCCCCTAGGTCAGAGAAATAATTTTTACACGTATCTTGGTAAAACTGTTTGGTTTTTTTTAGTCATACATGTAATTGAAGTTTGTGGGAGACGCGCGGAGGCCTTAATGCGCTGGACTTCCGGTCGGGATGTAGCTAAAACGGGATAAGCTCTGGCAGTTGGGACTTGGCGCCAGCCAAAACTGACTTAACATTTTTTGTAATTCTGTTAAAACTTCCGTATCATTTTCACCTTTCCTTTCCATCTAGGCTACCAAAGTTACCTTTGGTGAATAGTGTTGAGTCAGCAGAGCCTTTGAAGATAACAAAGCCTTTAAATTCAATATCAAAGAACAACGACCCATTTGCTGGCGATAAAAAACCTCCGTGGACCTCAGCTATTCCTCTGCGAAGTCAGAGCAAGTCCGAAGTGGCAAAGTCAATGGACGAACTTATTTGTCGCCATAGTGACGCAAAGTATGCACAGAACATCGCCGTACTAGGGGAAAAACCCAGTGGAACTCGTCTGAAACGGCAGACTTGGTGCGGGAAATCGCCACCTGAAATGCAAACGTTGCAGCCACTCACTCAGAGAAAAAATAGTTACTCTGATAATTTCTCTTCCCTGAGAAACCAAGAAACGAATCCTTGGGCCTCAACTGTCACCAACACTACGGATATCTCGCAAATTCAGACTGACGACCGTAAAGCCCAAGACTTTCTGGTGAACAAGTTTAATCGACTTACTAGGACGGCTTACCCTGTAGTCGAAGATGTACTGCCTAGAAAGACTCTTACCGTGCCAAACTTTCCATTAAGAAATTCAAATTCAGCGAGTTCTCTGAGATCATTTGAAAGTCTCCCTCCAGTTTTCGAGGATCGGGATTTCAAATCTGACACAGAAGAAGAAGAGATATTTGAAGAGGCTCAGGTCGTTCCTGTCGGCCGCAAGGAAAGTCTCGTACTTCCTTCAGATGCGGCAAGTATGTTACGGCAGCGCAGAACTCGTACTCTAAGAAGGCAAGAAAGCTTAAAAGAAGACGATTCAAGTATCAGGTTACCAAGCAGCCAAACACAAGATACCACGCAGTCGCTCAGAGATGGCGAGGAAAGTTCTGGTGTTTCTGGAAAGCTAGTAGACACTACTGATCAGTCTAGCCATGGTCTAAAATCTAAGAATTTGGTGAAGAACTCTTCCTTGGAAAAGAAAAGACTGTCTGTAGGATCTATTTCTTTATCTTCAGCAACGGGTCCGAGTTTCAGAAAAGACACAGGACAAAAAATTATGAAGAAAAGGGGAAACGATAAAGAATGCGTCAAATCCAAATCAAAACAAGTCCTCGAAAAGGATACTGAAAGTAACGAGAAGAATGTCACCACACCAATCAGTAAGGCCAACTGGTTGAAAGCTCTGCACAAGGTCTTCAATATGAACATGTTTTTGAACGGCATGACTGCTTTGCAGAAGCAACGGGAGGTTGATCGTTTGGCCACAGAGAAAAAGAGAGCTGCTTTGGAACAATTATATGAAGAACTGAAGAACTGCAGATACCTGAGGATGCCTTCTAAAGAAGATGAAGAACCATGCGACTGTGTATCGTGGGTATTTGACAAAAATTGACAGCTGAGTATCCGTTTAGTAGTGTAAATAGAAAGCAGAGCCATCTTTTAAAAAAACGTTGGTGGTAAAAGTTCTGGAAACCAAAGAATATCTCGGTTCCTATCGCAGACCTCACAAACACGATCTGAGAGTATTTTCATTTAAGAAAAAGTACGCTCTCGAAGTACCCCGGTGAGTCATATTCAGGCCTTCCGCGGGTAAGAAATAATGCAACTTCATAAGTCGCAAAGACGAAAAATGAATAATAAAATATCCTCAATTATGCAAGAGAAAAAATATGTGGATTTATTTCACAAGAATGCCTTTCTAAAAAAAGCGCATGCAACCCTTCGATACTTAAACCTTACATAGTAGTTATTTTTCAACATTTTAATCCTTGTTTTACAAATTCTTTCAAATCTTTATCTATTTGACCATCTCATAAGTTAAGAAATAATGCAACTTCATAAGTCGCAAAGACGAAAAATGAATAATAAAATATCCTCAATTATGCAAGAGAAAAAATATGTGGATTTATTTCAAAAGAATGCTTTTCTAAAAAAAGCGCATGCAACCCTTCGATACTTAAACCTTACATAGTAGTTATTTTTCAACATTTTAATCCTTGTTTTACAAATTCTTTCAAATCTTTATCTATTTGACCATCTCATAAGTTTAATGTTTGCTATCAAAGCTGAAGCTGTAAAGAAAATTTCGAGGTCTTTTCTTCAGTATAAACCTATGTAAATAGCACGACTGAATAGCGTATATTGGGCAAATCAGAATTCAATAGATTTGCTCAGTAATTGATAATCATTGTGCTCAAGTGCAATGAAGGGTGAAGTTCAGTTGTATTTTAAAAGTTTTTCACATTGCTCGTTGGAAACTTTGTACTAACTTTGACCGGGTGATACTCTTTTGTTTGGGAAAATTTCACTGAATACAACGTCTTTCAGTTACAGCTTGGGAGTGACTTTCGTTAGTCTAAAATGATTTACAGGTGAAGGGTGGTTCTGAAAATAATTTTGCTGGATACAAACTCAATAAAAACTGAAATCGTGAGACTGTTTGGAAAAACCTCCGATGATAACTTTTGATCTTCTTTTTAAAAAAGTTTAAGTGGCGAGGCAAGATGTATGAAACTCTGAAAACAAATTTGCCTGGGTGCTCTCGCACTCATTTTGCTGAATAATAGCTTAGCGTAACTTCAATTAGCTGCGAAATAGATAATTAGTAACTGAAACAATCCACTACAATATATTCTAGTTCGTTCAATCCGCTAATGCGTGGTTTATGATATTTTGAAAAAACTTGAACACACAAATAATAGGTTTTGTTGTTTACAGCCAATGAGCTTCAAGCAAATAACAGGCCTAATGACCGCTTATCCATCACACCCGCCCTAAAATAAGCCACGGCAAAAAGAGTATTAAGCCAAAACCTTTGTTTACGACTTCTTCTCGGAAACGAGAAAAGCATTACTACTGCTCTTTGTTTTCAATCACGAGGAGTAACTCTTGTTAATTTTTCGTTGTAATTTTAAACTGCTATGGATGGGAAAAGTTCGAGACAAACACCTACGTTTTCGGACAATGATGAAGAGAGATTAAAACCTATTTATGCCCAAGGCAAAGCTGTGAAATTCTCAAAGCCAGAAAATATATTTGAAAAGCTTCGAAACAGAAGAAATGAGAGGAATACAAATCAGCAAGGAGCAAACGTGGAGGTTTGTCATTAATGACTTTGATTAGATCGATTATTTTTGCTGAACTAGTTAAGACAGAGAAGCGGACTCTAAAACTGCCGGGCCGATTCGAACAAGAGACACCAAGTAAATCCTGTGATAGACGAACATTGACGTTTGTTTCCTTTAAGCCCCTGTTTCGTGGTGCGTCTTTAACGTTTAAGCGAGTCTTTTGATTAGAGAAAACAAGTAGAATTACCTTTTGGACAAGGGGCCAGTGAAAGTTTTTATCTAAGTGATTTCATAATCGTGTAGGGCAGTCAAAACAAACAACTACTCATTAGCCCTAACATTTCTGTCTTATAAGCTTGAATAATTTACGAAATTTTCGTGGTTTCTGGTGAAAACTGCCGTAGGAGCATTTTTATATAGGATATGCAACGTTTCTTTTTATCTCATGATTAGGCGTGAATCGCAAGCTGTATAGTTATTTTATCAACGCGTCATAATGCGTCAAATCTTTTTAAGTTGTTTAATCGCTCTTTCGGGTGTTTGCCACATTATTTCCGCAGAGTAGTGCTTGCCAGAATATAAAAAGGCCGGGTTAGATAAAAAATAGATTAGAGAAAACCTCAAAAAGTTTAGAGTTTTTCCCTTTCTCACATTTCGAGACTATCATTCCTCGCCGCTACAAAAATCGGTAAAACTAGGAAAACACCTCTGTAATTATCGTTCACAAATGCCGACATATTTAATGAGTTTACTCAAAGACATCTCATCGACACGCTTTGACAAAGGCTTTTCCTTAGACATTTACTTGGAGCTGACATCTTTATAGCCTGTTCACAACCTATAAATGACACTTTAGCGACGTTGACTAAGCGCTAGACTGTCTAACATGTCACGCTGATTATAGCAGTGGTTTTTGTTGTTTTTTCTGTTGTTATAAACCAGAAGTAAATTGAAAAAGAACGGTAGATCCCAAACTATGCTCACGATCTAATAAATTTGATATTTTAGTGTGTGGGTTCAAATTAGTTTCCTTCATTTTGTCAAAGTGTATTTACTTACTGCAATCGCACAATGCACACAAAATCGTCATGAAATTTGAGTTCTATTGCCGCTTTCAGCCCCAGTTGTGCTCACTAATAAGAAATTCAGTGGTCACTCTAAATGAAATAAATAAATGTATTAAAAATTGTCTTAACTACTAGTAAGGCCATTAGCTAATGGATGGATTAGCAAGTAGTCTGGTTGGCGCCTGCTAGAGAAAAGAAGTGATCTTTCTTCAATAACATTGAAAAGAGATTACAATTGTCATAATAACCACAATAGCTTAATTATAGGCGAAACACGATTTCTTAATTGCTGAGGTAAAAGGATTTAGGAAGTTATTACGTTCACATTGCAGTACAACACGAACTTTTGGCTCAATTTTGCGAAATGTCGTGCACGTCTTTGATATAAACAAAGCACCTGATCAACTCTTTATACCCTAATATCAGAATGCATATCCTCCATAATGTTTTACATTCATGTCTTAGGGCGCTGACAAGGAGAATTTGTTTAACAATCAAGAGCTTATCAAGTTGGTGATCATTTCCTTTAATGTCGTGACCGAAATGTTTGAATCAGGGGTATATTGTAAGGGGAAATTAGATGCTAGTCACTCGAAGGGTTTAATTCCTCGACCGCATAGTAAAACTAACTACTTTTTGACAGAAACAAAATAGCCCTAATATTACCCAGCTACAGGCTTATATTGAACAGGAGATGGACTGGGACTGGAGATGGAACACTCAAGTTAATTTCCACCCAGCTCGATGAGTGGCACACAATTTTTCGTTAAAAAAGCCGGTTATTTCCACACGTTTATCTAAAGGCTCGGTGTTTTGATACGCAGAATCAAACTACGTTAAAGGAGCGAAGTAACCTTGAATTCAATAAAGTTTAAAGCGGTTAAATAGCAAATTCAGGCATTTCATTAATCAATGTCGACGTATGGTGGGAGTAAAAACTTGGGCTGGAGATGAACAGGAGCTACTCACGGTACACTAGTGAGCAACTCTGTCTTCTCAGTGAATGTATTTGGGCAACAGGAAACCGTTAAGATATGAAAACCATCTTCACATAGCTTGAAGTCCTTGTCCTATTTTGTTAGCGTCTTGAGTTTCCCTAACATCTTGAGTTTCCAGCGTGGATACATAAGTAAACATTAGTTTCTCTACATCTTAGCAGGAAGATACTTCTACCTCATCCAGAATATTGAAGAACACATTGCAACACGGGAGGCCTGAAAGGATCGACACAGAAAGTCATTTTAACACTTCTTCAACCCAAGCAAAATTAAAGTAGGTTAATTTCTTCTTGGTGATGTATTTTTCGAGGCTTAAAAAAAGTATTCTCTGAAGGTTCTGAGCAAACTTGTTTTTTGTTTTTCATTTAGAACTCTGGGCAGTCCACCCGATGGAGAAGCTACTGAAAGTCCGCGTCTTAAACAGTCTTTGTCAGCACCATCCATATCAGTCACAAGAGAGATAAAAGAGTTTATTCCGATCGGTCATCTTAAAGTAAACCCTCAGAAAACCGAAGACAAAAGGTACCTCTGTGTTTCCACCCCCTCAATCCTTACAGTTGTGAAGGAAAATCTTAAGATGATAGGGGAAACCGTTAGCCATGTGGGTACTCCAGTTATGATGAGAGCACCTAACAAAGTACAATTAAGTTCCAGTCCTCAATTTCTGCGGGCAATGAGCCCGGTAGCTTGCTTTACCAAACCTCCAGGGAATAAAAATGCTTCTAATGTTAATCACAGCAAATTCGTCAACGTCTCTGTAATTCAACCGTCAACGAGAGCAGAAATAACTTCGGGTGAGCTCGATTCGGCAGTGGAAAGAATAAATATAATGACTAAAGAGAAACTGAAAATTAAATCACTTGAGGAGCAAATGGTTGCAAAGGAGAACGAAGTGCTACCTTCAGCAAAACAACAAGGAAGCCCTATTCTTCAGCGAGTACGAAGCCTCTCGTGCTTAAGCAAAGAGCCAAATAGTGCTGCCGAAGTCAAGATCGTCGACAACTCAAATGCCTCCACGCATTCTAAAAGTCCACAGTCGATGGAGGTGGGTACTGCCGTTATGGTCATCAATGAGGAAGAAAGACGGAGAGAAGTGCCCAAAGGAACTAGAAGTCCACAATTAAAAAGGGTTAATAGAGTTGGTGCTATGGTTGATTGTTGGCAGAAAAACAAAAAAGTGACGTTTACAGCGCCCAGAAGTCCACAACTGAGGAGGGCAAATAAACTCAACGCCATGGTTGACTCTGGAGATAAAAAATCCCAGAGAGAGATTCACACAGGGGCCAGAAGCCCAAAATTAAAGAAGGCCGATACACTTAAGGTTTTGTTTGACTCTGTGGAGAAAAGTTACAAAGAGTTAAAGAAAGACCCTAGATTGTCAACTTCACAATTAAAGCGGGCCGATATACCAAACGTTGAGACCGACACTGGGGAGAAAAGCGAAAAAGAGATGCACACAGAGCCCAAAAGTCCACGCTCAAAGAGAACCAATAAAGTTAAAGTTGGTTTTGACGATGGGGAAAATGGGGGAACAAAGGAGCACGTAAGGTCAAGTTGCTCACAATTAAAGGAAACGAATACATCCAGCGGTGTGATCTCCTCGATGGAGGAAGAGGAAAACGATACAAACTTAGCGCCCAGAAATTCAGAGTTAAAGAAGACCGATACACCAAGTGGTATAGTTAACTCTGAAAAGGAATCACAAAATGAAACAGAAATAGATATAAAAGCCCAAGAACAAGAAGGGGAGTTATTTCCGAAGGAAACGAAAATACATAGCTCTAATGGCTCTTCTACTAATTCTCTGACTCCATCATCACCAAAACTGCAGTCGACTTCTCGAAACCCTCCTCTCCAACCGGAACGAAACTCTTCTGGTTCAACCATCGTCTCAAATGATGCTGACAGTTTGGACAACAGCAAAATTTACAGAAGTCCTAAACTGAACAGAGCTAGGGCATGCGCGAGGCTTGTGGCCTTTGATCCGTGGATCAACGAGCATGGTACTTTGGAAGAACAGACCTCAAGCTGCAAAGGCATTTACAAGGTCGACAGGAGCCGAAGCCTTTCAGTACCTTTGGCTGAAAAATCAGAAAAAGAAAACGACAATTATCCTAAAAAAGAAACCGTACAGCAAGAAAACCACGACAGGATTAACTTTGCTAAAATATGTGATCACGTGCCACTTCCATCTAATCAAAAGCAAACTCGATATCTTCTGTCAACTGATGAAGTTTCATTCATGCGTAAATCCACAGGTGACATTCAGGAGGCCTTACAAACTTGCTCAAAGGAATTGGAACCACTGTGGGACCCTTTTGAGGAAGTACAAAGCGCGATGGGTTTTGAAATAAATCACCCGAACGAAACTTCGATAGAACAAGGCTCCTATAACCAAATGACCCTTTCGCCTTGCGCAGACAGACGACCCGCCTACAGGACTCGCGCATCGTCCATGTCAAAAGTTCACGAGGCCTCTGACGATAAAATGTTTGCTGGTAATTTAACAGCCTTTACCCTTAAAACACAACTTTCAGCATTCCACAAGCCAGTCAAATTTCGAGAAATAACGGAGCCTCTGAAAAAGTCGAAATGGTTTCATGCCCTATCTCAAATTCGTTCTGATGGCGACTTTAGGACTGCCATGTTGGAAATACAAAAACAAAAAGAACGAGAGAAAGTTTCGGGGAAAAAGAAACCGTCTGTGGCGGCTTCTTTCGAGGAAATCAGACGTTGTAGGTATTTGAGGATACCAGAACATTATCAGGTTCAAAGTAAGGCGTTTCAAGATTCCTCAAGCGACGTTGATTGGCATAAGTGACTGCAACACGACTAGTTTATTAGCTTGTTGCAAATACTGCTACACCAAACCATTTTATATTTGTTTTCCAATTATTCAAGTTTCATTGAAAAGCTCCAGCTCCAAAGGAAGGGTACGAGAGACTCAAGGTAAAATAACAGTGATGCACTAACACAGCTTGAGGTAACGGAAAGTCCTTCAACTATAATCGGTGCTCTAATTAAAGGGGGTTCACTGTTCCTCACACCATCATTATAATAGCGATAAAATGCCACATGCAAGAAACCCTTTATTCACTTAGCTAACACTGTTGAATCAAATTATATAAATGTCCCCAATAACTCCATCTCGAAGCCTCGTTGTCAGGTTACGTCAGTTTACGTGAGCGGTCGTTATATAATCATATTTATAGATATTTTGCCTATGCGTTGCGCCGGAGTGATACAACAACTAATTGAGTATCAAAAGGGTGTAATCACAAAGTGAAATGAGATGCTGCGAGTGTTTCCCAGGCTGGCAAAGGAGAACTCAGTCCGATAATTATGAAGTGATGGGACGAAGCACGCAAGTTCTGTTGAAGACGGAGATAATGAAAAAGGAATTGGGGGGGGGGGGGCCAGGAAGGGAAAACATGCCTCAACATCGCCGCCAATCTGACCTCAAATAATTTCCTTTCCAACCAAACACTTCCTCGTGGCTCATTCAGTTTTCTGTTCAGATATAGAGAAGCATCAATCTCCATTCAGGAGACGGGAAGTTATTTACCATTACCGTATAGTTACAAGCTGTCCCATTTAAACGGACTGGGTGGAAAATCCTCCACATCGTCCCTATGAGCTGGAATTGTTTCCATCTCATATTCAATGTCCATGCTGTTAAGGTTTTCTGCTAACAGAACCTGTCTGTCAAATGATCCTTGTCCCTGGAGCATTCTATTTCTCTCGCGACTGTTCCAGATGCTATACCCAAAATATAACAGCACACCTGTTTAAGAGATAAGGGAGAACTTCGTGATTTTAATTACAAAAAAAAAAAAAGATAAACGTACTAAGAGAAAAATAGTTCATTCTCTTCTCGGTCGTCAAATGAAATAGTCCAGTTCTCTACCATGGAGCCTCAGAGAGATCGCTGGTGGGCTGAACCATATCAGAAGTTCATATCTGACAAACACTTCCATACTAGTATAAATCTACTTGTGCTCTATCACAGTTGCTGTAATCTGATTGGCTACCTAACTCACGATTGCTTAAAAAAATGGATTCCATGTTGCCGCGCGTCTTTTCGCAGCCACGCGCGCGTGAGTGTTTGATGCTCTTACCCCATATTGATATCCTCTGTGATCTATTACTGAAAAGACCCAAGGAAGTCCAATCAAAATGAGCACCGCAACGCTAAGTGTGCTCTTTGCTAGTCTTTCTCAGTCAAGAGATTTTAAATATGTGGTATCGTTATTTAGTCCTATTTTTGTGGCATGATGGTTATCTGCTATTGGTACGTGTTGGCACGCCCTTACCGGTGCATTTCGGCACACATGCTTATTCGGAACATTAGATGGCCGGAGGATTATTGCTTGATCGATGACTATTCATTATAATTTTTAAAAAGTACCCACCTAAGCCCATCCAAATTCCAAAGCGGATCCATGTCAATCGGGAGAGTTTCAGCATCAGAAACACGTTGAAGAAGATGGCGAGCATTGGAAGAGCCGGCACAAAAGGCGCCCTGAATGAGATCTTCTTGGCATTTTGAGGTTGTAAACAAATCACAACAATAGCAAATAAAATCAGGATTCCGAAAATAACAAGAAACATTACAATCACGTAGCTTTGTCTTTGTAAGGCATCCAAACCATAAACTATTGCTGCGCAGAACCCAATGAACGAGAAAAACATTAGAGTTGCTGCCCACTGCACAATGCGCAAGCTCTGTGCCGTTGGTCCTCTCCTTGGTTTATTTTGTACAAATTGTTTCGTATTTCCTCTGTAAGATTTTTTCAATTCTCCCGCAGATAAACCTTTGTTTAAATACTCCCTACAGCTGTCCGCAGCATTTGGAGTGGGTACCATTCTATTTGTAGATATTTCGTAGTCCCATTCGTCTGTCATATAATCGGGTGAAGAAAGTTTTTCATACGAATCTTGCTCTGGTTCGGCGGCAAAGTGCAATAGGTATGTCGAAGGTACCTCAGGAGCATCAGGTTGATAACGAAGGATTAAAACACAAAGGGACACTAGAGTGTATGCAAGTAATGTCCCAATGGACATCATTTCAACTAGCTCATTTAAATCAAACAACAACGAAATTATAGCTGTCAGAAGCCCTGGGTATACAGTGGCAATCACAGGAACCTCAGTTCGAGGGTTCACCTTCGCCAACGATTTAAAGAGCAATCCATCTGACGCCATGGCATAAATGATCCTAGGCAAAGGAAACTGAGAGCCTAAAAGACTTGAGGATAGGCCACAAACAGCGCCTATACCAATGATGTATTTAGCCAGAGGAAATCCTCTTTGAACGAATGCGTTAGGAATTGGCGAAAGTTTGTCGAGCTGATCGAAAGGAACCATCAACGTAATTACCGCAGAGACTCCAAAATAACATACAAATATAACTAATAGGGACACAACAATAGCAACTGGTATAGATTTAGGTGCGTTTTTGGCTTCTTCACCTGTCGTGGCAATGATATCGAAGCCAACATAAGCGTAGAAACAGGTCGCTGCTCCACTTAACACTCCCGAGGCTCCATACGGGAAAAAACCTTGTCCTTCTGTCCAGTTTTTCGTATCGACGAAAAATATCCCAGCTACTACGACAAAAAGGACAACCAAAATATTTAAAATGTTGAAAATAGTACTGAATGTTGATGATTGCTTAACACCAATGGCTAATACGATTGTTACAATGATAGTGACGATGAAAGATACGATATCAGGATAGGTTCCCAGACCTGGGGTATTTATCTCTCCAATATAGGTCAGCGTTAAATTCCTTATCACATTTCCAATCACATAATCGAAGCAAGCGCTTAAAGCTCGTGCATCGGCGGCAGTACCGATCATGTATTCGAGAATCAAATTCCAGCCGATTATGAAGGCCCATATTTCACCGACAGTGACATAACTATAGGCGTAAGCCGAGCCAGTAGTTCTGGGTACACGCGCGCCGAATTCAGCATAACACAGTCCTGAGAGGATAGATGTAACAGCCGCCAACGCAAATGATATTATCACCGCCGGTCCCGCAATACTTGCGGCAACTTGTCCCGAAACGACATAGATTCCCGCACCCAGAGTGGCCCCAATCCCAAGAGATGTCAAATCCCATGTTGTAAGACATTTTGACAACTCGGTGTTTGTTTTCTCCTCCTGGGTAATTTTTTTCCTTCTCGTTAAGCAATGTAACAAGTCAGCCATTCGAGAAAAAGACTCTGTAACGCTCGGATAATTAACTGTGTTGATACTGTCTAATAAACCAGAGCGTCTGGTCCACTGTTCTTCTATCGACAATCCTTCCCTTATCAATGCCCAAAGGATGGAATTTATCTTCCAGACCAGTCGGACTTTAAGCTTCGACGGGTCGCTTCTCAAATTGGACTCAAACAGGGTTTGAACAGTTACAAATTTAACCGGATCATCTCATTCACGAGAGTAGCTTGAAATGGTTTGGGTAAGAGCATTTTGCCCATGCGCAGTGTGGACAAACACCTGTTGAAAGCTAAATACAGGGCGCGCCTTAGGTCAAAATTGTTATGAATATTTGATTAACCTATCATTCGACTCCTTATGTCACATTAATTTCATTTAAACGAATCCACTGGTTTTTCCACTTGTTTCCCTCAACCGGAATATCTTATAACCAGACCTTTGAATAGATAAACAATGGTGATATAGAGAGATAAAAGGACGTTTGTGACAGTTTTCAGGTACCCTAACGTTTTACAGGTCTTTCCACCCTCTGTCATCAAAGGATGGGAAAAGTTTAACGTTCATAGAATATGCTAACCAAATTTTCACGACAGACAAGAGAAGAAAGCCAAAATGTGTTCAGCTATACTGGAAACTGTCTAAGTAGATTGATATCCGTGACGAATTTCGCTAGATTCGACAATTTGGCCTTTGTCCAAATGTGTGGTTGTTAATGTCACTAAAATTCATGCTACATGTATTTCACACGCTTCTAGCCGCAGGTTAATTGAAAATGATTTAACTGAGAAGAATCACAATTCACAAGAAACAGGCTTGTTTGACATCCATGTTCTCAACAAAGATACTAATCAGGACCAAGTTAACATCAAAGGTTCCTTTACATTGGACAAGCATCATTAACTTCTTCCCTTTTACAGTGAACAAACTAGAAATCCGGTATGGGAAACGTTCACGGCGTTTATAGTTTTACTTGCGGCTCAGCCAAACAATCAGTTAATTGGACACCAGCCAAAGCACTTCGGGGGGAAGGGTGAGAGAAACTTAAATTTCTGGGGAAGGAATGTGCAATTACAGTTCAGTGAGGGTATTAACGCTTTTATTCCTTACTTCTACGCAAAAAAAAAGCAGCTGATAGTCTGTAGACTCTAGAAAACACATTTCAAACGTTTTGAAAATGGTTTAAAATGTATTCAGTGACGTACTAAATTAAACGGTTGCTTAGTGTCCAGAACATGCAATTGAACAAAAAAAATCAAGTTGTTACGAAGCTGTTACCTGTGATAATTCTACTTTCAAAGTTAAATCTCTAATTACTCTTTTTTTAAAATCAATCATTCTTATCCTGGCTGACTTTCTTGCTGTCATCTGGGCAAGAGATGGTCATGATACGAATTTCGCTTCCTTAGAAATACTGGAAAGCCCCGAAGCCTCGCCGAGGGTGAATTTCATTTTGGGGGATTTCCTTCTTGTTAAATAAAATAGCGGCATTTTGTGAACGGTGAGTTATGATTCCAGCAGTTTGGGCGAGGAGCCAGATTATCGAGAAGTGTTCGAAATGACGGCGTCTGTAATCAAAATATTAAGATATTTTCATAGGACAGTTTTCGAGCTGTTATGCTCCTCTCTTATAAATATCCTAGATATGTTTACTTACTATACTTAATATACTTTTAAAATACACACTTTTTTAAAATAAATGAAAGAAAAATTGTATGGTTTTATGGCTTCTTCTTTAACGATAAATCTGCAGAGTTTTTTTATGACTGCATAAGGACACATGACAATGATCTTTACAGAAGAGAACAGCAACCAAACAGAGTCGTTACCTTGATAGCTCTAGTGATGGAAGATATTTCCGACTGAGACGGTAATAGCTAGGGTATAGATCGGTAATTAAGGTCAAGTTTATTTCAAGACGTATCCTTGCCGTAGCTTTTGGACTTGCTGAGATTTGTCTGAGAGCCATTTTAACTCAGCACGCTAAATTGAATCTAGGCGTGGACAGCAACAACACGACACACAAACGACCTTAATTTTTCAGATACATAATATCCGCGAGTTCCTGTCTTTTATTGAAAAGACTGTAAAGCAGCCAAGCGATTTTCCGGTAAGCACTGAATTTTGTTGAAGATTCAACTAAACTTCCTCGCATGACGGACGCGCTAATCATGTTATTGTCGCCCCTTACAGTTATCTCTACCCTTTCCAAAAGATTACTTCTATTGATTACACTTATTGAATTCAAACACCTCTGATAAGCAGGCAGAGTGCACCACCATCATAATTTTTGACTTTTAATTTTACCACACATTTTGACGTTTACTAGCGTGGTACCTACTTTAGTAGAAGTCAAAAAATTGAAGATAAAAATTTTGCGCATTAACGACTGGAAATAATTTAATCTGGAATATTCAACAATAAACTAAATTTCTTTTCCTGTGTTGAGCACCTACCCATATTAAGAGCGAGATATAACTTTGCAATAAGATGAATACATCAAGTCCTTTAGACATCTCGCGTGGAGAACTAAAATGCAAATATTGTCCTAGACGTTCAATTTACTTCGTTTTATCTAGCTCTAGTTTGAAATCAATGCAACAGTTGGAAACAATTTTTTGTTTTCATTTTTTGAAAAATAAAAAAAAAGAAAAGAAAAATGATGCATTTTTATTTTAATTTTTTAGATTAATTGGTGTTTTTAAGGGAGTCTAAATGTCGATTTGGATAATTGTTGTGTCTAAATTACTGCAATGTCTGTTCCAAAAGTGCCAGCTGCATGTAAGAGATAAATCAAGATCCTAAGATTCCCTTCTGTGTAAATGGATTGTGCGCTCGGGTTTCCTTCCCTTTAACGACACTCCCTGTATCTTCAATCTTTGCTGTCAAAGAAACAGAACTGCAAACGTAACAACATAAGAAAGAAAGAAATCACCGGAACTGAGAAGTTAAATGATAAGATTTTTACGACCAAGGCGCCAAGGTTCTCAGATATATCGATTGAATCAGACCTAAAGATTTTTAAATTGCTGGCAAACAAACAGTAGGTGATTGAAAGAAGTTTTTTCCTAGCCTGAACATTAATTTTCAAATTTTGGTTAACCCCTTTGAGTTATCTTGAAGAACTAAGGAAACCAGAAAGCAAAAGATGCTTCTTACAATGATTGGTGTTATGCAGAAATTTAAAGCCATACAAAGCTAGCTAAGATTGCGTAACGGAGAGATTAATGCTCTCTTGGCTCAACAGAATGAATGAATCATGATGCGGAAAAATTAACGCAACTTTGAACGATGTGTTTGATATAATTTTGGTGCATGAGAGAGATTATGCTTGATGTGATTGATCCACTTAACGTAAAAATCCAAAACGCTACAGAATGATGACTTGTTGGATGAGAAAAAAAAAATGCGCCTTACCATGACTTGTTTTTATTCAAAGTTCTTAAAAGTTGAAACCGCAGACGCTTTTTGTGCCCATTCATAACATTATTATGATTCATCGCTTTAACTTGCGTTGATAAAATCATAAAATGGGTCTAAGAACGACGCCATGTCCAAATTAGTTCACCGATGACACTAAGCAGCTACTCGACAAGTAGTTACCTCAGTGGAACATTCTCATCAGTGAGACAAATTGGACGAGTATATCTATTGGAAGTGAACACTCAAGCAGCCTTGTTTGATATGATTACGTAAATTAGTATTGACCGGGAAGAGCACCAAAGTCGAATAAACAAAGTTCTTCTTCGTAATGTGCTGTTATTGAGCCACTTTGTAGTTAAATTAAGAATTGTTTTAAAGAGTACATTAAGAAAGATAATTTTGGGTTTTCTGATGATACATTCGCGAATTCGACGTTTTTATATAAATATCAACGCTTTTAAACGTTTTACACGCGTAAAACTTTTGTACTTTATATCGGCGTAAGCTTCACATCAATAAGTGTTTTCTAACTACAAAGGATATCAATAATTTAAGCCTTTAGTGCTTCAAATAGTATACCACACAGTTATATGTGCCGCTAACTCGTACAGGTGCAGTGTCAACTTCCAAGGTTAAGAAAACATAACCAAATGAGAACATAAGGGCGTAGCTTCTCAGTAGTTATCGGAGTTGTAGTAAATTTAAGAAGGAATACGGTACAAGTTGTAGCAGTAGGGCAGTGGTACATTAAGAGGTCTCTGTGACCAAAGACTACAGGTACCCTTCAGTCAGCAAGTTTGCACGAGCCATCTTCCCTCAAATACCCCAACAGAGACCCCAAACACTATAATTGCCGAGTGCATATGGCTAAAACAAAAAGAGCAGTGTACCAGAACGTAACACAAAGCTTTAGCCATTGATTCTGCTTGTTAACATCCCTAATTACTTAGTCAGCTTTCCACAGTTATCGAACTCTTTACTTGAGCCGTCGAGGAGAGCTTATAAACTGTGCATAGCACTTAAGAAATTTTTCACCAACCAAAATCCTAATTCTCCTCTTCCAAAATGATTTTTGTAATATTCCAAGGATCCGCATAGTTAATACCGATTGTAACTTAAGAGGCTAGGATAGAGTATGAATACTGACACGTGCACTGAATTCAAATTACCTTTGTGGTCAAAATTCTACTGGCACGTTTCCTAGCCAGCAGTTGTAACAAAAAAATACACCACGAAAGAGCGATTACATTAAAAACAACAAAAAAATTCACTTGGAAATAGGTGTTTCAGTAATCACTTCCTTATTTTAATACTAATCGAAACTCCAACCTGCAAAGTGTTCAAATGATGTATTTTTGTAAACTTGAAAAGCATTTTGAAACACGCATGTGCGTATCTCTTCATTCAGTTTATATGCAAACACAGTTCCATGTCACACCTTAATCATTTGCCTCTTACAGACGTCAAAAACTTCACAAAGACAAACCAGCTTCTTGGTCCAATGATTAAACTAGAGTAAAAGTTCAAAGGAGTCATTTCACTGAACATAATATCACCAATATGTTACATTGGCTGAGTAATGAGCTGAGTTAATAATTAACCAAGAGGAGAATTACCACATCAACAGTATTACCTATCAAAGACATGCAATTGAGAACTATTGGCTTATTTTTTCAGTGAACAACGCATTGATTTTAGAAATATTTAAATCAGCAAAGTCACCAGAAAATAAGGAAAAGGATTCTCTCAAAAGAGAGAGAAAAATTAACATATTTTAACGAGATAAATTTTCGTGGAAATGTTCCTCTTGAGGTTACTAAAATAATTGGTTTTTACTCATTTAGAAATAAACATTCAGAATTTTATAATTTTAGCTATTGAATTCAAAATTTCATTCACAAAACTACTACAAAACGTTCCTTGTTTCCTGCAATGTTAACAATTCAATTTCTATTTTCGTAAAAATGTTGCATCAGTTTGATGTTTACAGTTACACGGAAAATTTTCTCTCAAACACTTGAGTTTGCAAAAGGAATGAGAGTATTTCGATTTTTATTTTAGGGCGTGATTTAGCGTCGCTCTGGGTGCGGTTCAATCGTGGATAGCATACTTATAAGCAAAAGATGTATCCGTTTATCCAGCGAAAATCATTTCAGAGCTGTAGTCATTATTAATGTATATGAAAAAGTCAATTTATGCGTGGTTTCATTTTATTTGTCTGCTCTAAAAGATACACAAACTTTCACAAGTATGTTCAAACTTATTAACACCTTGTTTCGGGAACAGACCCTTTTGGGGTTAAAAATAATTTTATAAAATTGTTTCTTCCCGTGAATTTTTTTCTGGGATAATTCAGTCATAAGTATTAACATTCCACTAACCTATTTGCCTGTCGGTGAATCGGATCAACAACACTTGGAAAATATATAAACAACGTCCCTAATACAATAATGTGCGAACCAACGGCTGTACTAATTGAAACGTTTTGGAAATGCAGACTTGTTCTTGTAAAACGTACTAAATAAACTGATGATCTTGCCATAGTTCTTGTTTGGTGTATCAATAGTGTTCCTAAATTTCATTAATTCTATGCCATGCCACGATGGATTTTTCTTTCCGTCGAGTCATTTCATACCAATGCCGCAATTCTTCTTCGCTGCTGTAATTCTGCCCAAGACACACACGACCAAATCGATGTTTTTTCAGCGCCAGCGTGCGCGCCGTAATACTCGTAACAGTCAGTAAAACTGTCACTGAGTTGAGCTCATGCTCCGGAACATGGAATAAAAACATTTCATTATATTCGGGGTCTATCATATGCCGTCTTGGAGTAGTTTTACTCTTGCTAATTAACTCTCCAGTGCTTTTAACAACCCTCACTGCGACATATGTTTCTCGTGCTTTTGAGTCAGTCAACATTCCTAAATTTCTTGTCTTGATAACTTCCAGAAGAAGCTTTCCCGTAATGGGGCGGTATTCTAAGGACAGTAAAATCTCGGGCCGATCTTCTTCGGAGATGGCCAGCTCTCCTTCGTACATGATCGCGCCCGAAGCAGCTTCCGGAACATACGATCCGGGAGGCTGTAAATCAACACATGCGGGAATCATTTCAGAATCTAAGTCCACCGACCGAAGCCGTAGCGTTCCTTCGCCTAATAAATGCTTAGAGCCCATAGTGCCTTGTTCATACAAGCGAAATCTCAGCGACATATCCTTGATCTTGTCCTTGGGAAACAAATACATCGCCATGGGTTCATTAAAGTCTCTCGGTTTTGTTCGAAAACTTTGCCGTTTTCCCGGCAACAGCATGACGCTCACTTCTAACAAAGAAGTATCCCTTTGGTGATACGGTGGAAATTCTATTTTTGTAACAGTTACAGACAGCTTAGCCGTGTGCATGGTGAAGTCAAGTACGACATGAAGCCGACCAACTCCGCGTACTGTTTGATCCATATTCCAGTCAGACACAGAACTTGAGGTTGATATCCTCTTGGAGGGCGCACCGCCACCAAATGCTCGCGGAGTTTCGCTCCGACTTCTTGTCGGAAGTCCCCCGAACTCTCTTCGCGCTGCGCTTCCACGAACCGTCTCGTCGTCTGACACGATACTACTGGTTTCTAAGCTTTGCTTCGTGCGCGCGACCACGCTGGGTGCCGATCTGCCATTTGTTAGACTACTTAGGCCGAAACTTGGGGTACCAGCGAGGGTGTTTCTGCGTTTAATTGCCGTGTTAGGCACTTGTAAGGCCAAGGCGTTAGACGATGAGTCTTGTTTGGACTTACTAGGTAGCGGTAAGGAACTATTTCGCGTGAGAAACGCTGTCGTGTTTTCCTCGTCGTCATCGTCTAGATACTCCGCATCACGCTCGTCGAAGTCCCCCTCTTCTTCTCCCTGTTTTGTGTCGCTGGATGCTTGCCTGAAATGCAGACAACAGCGAAACAATGGCAAAGGACATATGAAAAATTTAACACGAACTACATTCATATCCGAGGCCTCAATTACGACATATTAGCAAAACAGACCCCAGGAAGATGGCTTGGAACAAATAGAATCGTTGCTTCATCTTTGTCTACTAAACTCTTAATGCTCCAGTTCTGTTTATTTGCTGGCACGTTTCGCTTCCCTGATTGGTTCCCGACTCATTTAAGATGCTTTCATGAATGTACGAAATTAAAACATTTGCTCGGTCAATTATGTATGTTTTCCGTGTTCTGCATTCGTTCGTTAAATAATATTTCGATAAAGCTCGCCTTTGTCAGCCTGAATTTCAGTTGAATTTTCCCTCAGTGCCTAATAAAATTGGCGTTTCTTCTTTCTTTACTTGAAAATGCTCTATTCAAACATATTAACTTCTTTCTATTGTCAACTTTATCAAACCTGGTGGCTTCCTATTGACTAAAAAGCCAAAATATTCTTAAGCAATGAATTTGACTTTACAATTATTGCCAACAGCTGTCCTTGTGTTTTAAAATTATTCTGCGCTCTCGCGCGCTCTTTACAACCAAAACATGCCAAACACTCGACTTTTAGTCACGTTTCAATAATTTATTTTGGATTTTCTAGCCATCTAATTCCTGATTTTCTGCGTGCATCCACTTTGTTTAATCAAACCGAGGGCAGAAAATTCTTTGCGGCGGAATTCCTAACCCCACCCTATCATATTCGACAACCGACATAAAGAACGCAATTGAATATGAAAACAGGCTCACGGTTACAATGAAAATAATCTTACACCTTATGTAAGATTTCCTACCTATTTTCCTGTGCTGATTTGTCTGTGTTTTGAGTTTCACCCTCTGGGTTAATAATACTGCGAAAAAAACCACCAATTTTTGCCGTGAAATCCATCCGCTACGCGAGTGAGGAACGCTAACAGACAAGCGGTTGTCCGTAATGCATTAGACGTCCATCTGGTGTTGAGAATATTGAAAATGAAGACTTTTTCTCAAACTTCTGGAAATATTAGAGAGAACATCAATTAGCACACGCTCTTTTCACTTTTCGGGAACATAAACAAGATTCGATTGGTCGAATAGGGACTCGAAAGAAATTAACACAATTGCAATTCGTCGAAAGGGAAAATACTAACAGTGCTCGCAAACTCGCTAAAAACACAAAATGTTTTTGAAGTATACATGAGAAGTTGTCTTTTTCCTCCCCAAAATACTTTGATTGCACTCACCGTTTGCCTCGATGGATCTCCTTGACCAAATCCTTCAACTGATGCCGTCAGCCAATCCGTTTTTCATTATCGGTCACTTGCTACACAAGACGCCGAAAATTACTCTCGGGCTCTAGGAATTGTTACAGTGCCCACACAGAAAATTTCATTTTCTTCGCATACGATCTCTCGTGGACGTAATTGAATTATTTAAATGCAAAATCTAGATGGAGTCAAAATTATGCAGCTCTGACCTAAAATGACCAAATAATACCTTGAAACCGTGCCTGGATCGTTTGGGAATCGCTGTTTGGTAAATTCCTTGCTAGCTCTGTGTGAATTCTAGGCATCAAAGTTCTTATCGCTGGCAACAAATTACGAAGACCCAAAATACTGGCCAACAAGCTTCGAGAAAATCAATTAATTATATACTGTTTTTAAATGCACCTGCTTCCAAATGTGTATATTTACATAAAATATTTTGCCCATAAACTCTTCACGTCGTATTTTTTATGACACAAGATTTCCTTTTGTTAGGAATAGATGTTTCATTTTGTGCCTTGTCGAGCCATAAGCCACATCACGGCAAAATTGAAACAGTTATAAATTGCGCAATCCGACTTACCATAAAATGATTTCAACGCGTTCCATTCTAAACAGCCGGGCTTATTTTTTTGCGGGCGATTCTTGAGCCTTTTATAATCACAGTTAGCAAATAAAAGCTTAAAAAGTCACAACTTGAAATGAGAATTGCTATTCCTAATTTTTGGTGTTGCGGTTTTTTTTTTCCAAACCCATAAGTTTTCTACTTTAGAGATTAGGACCACTCGCCTTTCATCGCGATGCGACAGAGACTATATTTCCCTCAACAAAGGCGATTGTTTGGGCTTTTTTACTTACATAGACTGAGTGGCGTTTATTTCAAATGCAATACCGTGAACGCGACCATCTGGCGATGAAGTAAATAATTCCAAAATTGATTAACCCACCGGGGCCGCGTTCACAAACCAACATGACAAAAAAACATGCAAATGTCCAAAGTTTCCAGCCAGGTAAATGTTTAAGAAATAATGTTTTCCCATTTCAACCTGAGCCACGCACTTTGTGGCAGCGGTTTAAGTAATGTGGCATTAAGAGCATCATTTGAGTCGTGTGGTTCAAAATGCTGATTCAAGGAGGGTTTAAAACTTCGGAATCGCATTTGATCCCAGTAAACATCATCTAAGACCTGTTGTATTTGTTTTGTTTAGTTTTCCGTTACAAAAATCATCATGAAATTTTCTCTAGATTGCAAACTATCATTTTTATTGTAGCAGTTCCTGCATATTAATTTTTTATCCGAAAAATTTTAGCTGTGCTTGTGGTTTTCCAAATGTAATTATTACAATTCAAAATAAAATTAATATTGAATTTATTGTTAAATTTGAAAAATGTTAATTTTTTTGTCTTGTATTATTAACTCTGAGGAGGAATTTTATTAATAAATTTAATATCTAACTTTGCAAATTTAGTCACATTTGATGACAAATGTTGTTTTCCTCAGTCTAATTGCCTCCCATGGTAATAAACTCTCATCTGAATAAGCCTCCTGACCGTTTCACTTCCAAGATCTCATTAGTATCTCTCCTTACTGTATGCCATACAATTCTTATGATGTTGGTTCAGAGATTTTGGAATAGGATCAATCTAATAATCTCTTTTTTCATTACTTGTCTGCTTGATATTGTATTGATGTTGTAAGGAGAAATTATTTATTGGTCACTCATGGGAGTTAAAGGGTTGACCACCCAGAGGAAAAGCTTCGTTAAAAATCACAACAATCTGAGTATAATCATTCAAAAATCTTTTACCATGGTGTTACTTCAGAATGAAGGGTGCACATGCACACACTGGAGCCAGTTATTTACATGAGGTCTAACCCAAACAGTGGTTTTATGCGAGCAGTGAGCCTCATGGATTCTCTATAAGAGGGTTGATTCAATTAAATAAATGTCCTTCCAATATTAGCTTTCAGCCCTCTTGACACTGCTCACAAAAATAAATGTTCAGACAAAAGGTTCAGCTAAATCAATGATTGCTTGGAAGGAAGTTCTGTTAAATAACGGCTAAACTTTGTTCAAACAACCAGTCCTGGTAGAAGTTCCACACGGCATTGCAATTGTGTTGTGGTAGAACCAGTGTTAAAAGAAAATTAGGCTAAATTGGCAATGAAAAGGTCTTGGAACCATGGAAGCTGTACGAACTATTTAACTATATTATAGCTTACTTTAGTTTCTTTTAATTTTTTTGCATACAGATGCTTACAGTATGCAAATTGTCAAGAAGCTGATGGACCAACAACTAATAATTTTAACCAAAAGTCTATAACAGAGAGCATCAAAAGGATCAGGCTTGCATGAGGTACTACCCAAACCTGTGCTAAGGCATGTTCGAGAAAGCTCAGTTATTAAAGCTTTCACTCTCAAGATCTCAATAGTGACTCTCCCTACTGTCTGCCATACAACTCTCCAAATGATGGCTCAGAGAATTTGATAATGGATCAACTATAATCCTCTAGTTGACATTTTTCTTCATTCTGAACTCTTGTCTGCTTGCTATTTTATTGGTATTGTGAGGAGAAATTCCGTCTTGGTCACTCATTGGAATTGAAGGGTTAAGTTGAAGGGAAAGGCAGCTATAGTATATCAACCTTGCACTTAAGTGAACTTCTGGTACAGGATGATGATGTTTTAAGTCTGTATAAATGACTTCAATGCACACTATAAACTCCCAAAGCTATGCAATTTAGAGCTCACTACTGAGCTCTTCATTACAACTTGCAAAAGGCAGCTTTGCGAGGAAATTCTTACTCCTCTAAGGACAAGCTTAATGGACAGGAATCAAAACATGCAAGTGACGAGAATGTCAGTGCAAAAAATATACTTAAGTAAGCTTAAATCACAGACAAATAAAAGATTACTGAGCGCGATAAGTAATCCCGCTTCTCTCCGAATGAAACAAAGGGTAAGATTTGCACACAGCCCGATACTACTGTAACACTAAGCCGTAGTCTAAAAGGCAATCAATTGTTTTTACAATAGTTTTCTTTGTCCAAGAACTGTATGCATAATGAATTATGGGGCTGTGTGGAAATCTTATCGTAACATAAATCTCAACCGGCGCGAAACTAATTATCAGGCAGAGAAATGATAGTGATGTAAAGTAACTAGCTTAATCGTATTTCAAACTGTAATTTTTAGACCAGAAACAATGAGAACAGAGAAGTACATTAAAAGTGTACCTGGCACCAAATAACAAGATCGGGTTATAACAAACCTCGTGAGCTTGCTCTGTTCCTTTGAATGGTCAGCGTAAAAGCTGAAGAAGCTGCCACTAAGCGATGAACATAGCCAAAGACACGGCATCATCGTCAGAATTTAGGACAAAGGTCTCTGACCAACTGAATGAACAACTCTTCAGGAATGTTTGTGTTAATGGCTCACGTTCAACCATTTTGTCCATAGGCTTTTCCGGGCAGGCAAATACGATAACACGAGGTAACAAAGCACGTGCCGAGGATGAATACCATAGTAAAGGTCAAAATAATTCAAAGCTTAAAAAATTTAAAAATTGACGAGTGGGTCATGAACTTCACTAGTGGAGGATAGACACATGGACTACCATCGACACAGCGGTCTGTTAGACGTTGTACATGCGCGAGGGGTTCACTTTTGGCCGGCCGCGCGATGCCGTGCGCCAATTTCCCGCGTAAAATTGCAGAATATGACAGTCAGATAGAAATAGGCACTGTCAAGCAAAATACGCAAAATAATTTAAAGTATTAAAGAAATTTGTTAAAGGAAACACAATGAGAGAAAAGTAAAACTTGACACTGTGAACACAAACCCTATCAAATCAAGGATATACTGTCGATTTACCACTTTCTTTGGAGCATTAGTGTAAAAAGTTGTACGGCTCTAAAACACCGTGACTTACAAGCTTTCGTGGTTGTTTTATAACTCCCGTAGCACAGCTTGAAAGCGCACCGCCTAGCAAATCAACGTTCTCACATGCGGAGACTTAGCTGCTGTGAACTCAGTCCATAGATCTCACGGTCAGTGGAGATACATGTCGATAACTACCCCACCCCCTCCCCCCCTGGCGACATGCAGTGATCAGTCAAGGTAGCCCGATAAGGCTCTACTTTCAATTTATATGAAGCTTCAATTTTCTAACATGAATTTAGTGGTAACAGAACAGTTATGATTCGTTATGATTCCAACAACTACGTCCGCTAATTTATAAATTGTAAAAATTAATTCAGACATGTAAAGAAAAAAGTGCAAACAATTTTTAATGAAACATTCCATAAAATGGTACCCTGTTTCAGTGCTATGCACAAGCATGTGCAATGTACTGGTCTCACCAGTATTTCTGGATACAAAGTTCTGTATCGCGTGAAACTCACGGGTGAGTGAAAATATCCCTACGTGTGCATCTCTTTTGTCCAATTTTGTCCCTAAGGAAAGACGGGGCAAACGTTTAACTAAAACCCCACCGGTTATTATCAGCAACTGAAACATTTTTTTTCTGTTGCCACACAGCAGCCTATAAAAGATAATTTGCTTTGCCACCTCATTAACAAAACGTTAACTGAAGGTCTAAAATCGACAGATCAAAAAGTGAAAAAAATTTGAAATACCAGCAAGCAAGTCTGTTTTATCGATCGACTATACAACCAAGGGTTTGTACCATGGTGCACTTCTTACTGTCAATGTTTTATCGAGGCTTTGCTACATATCTGCTGTCAGCTGGTGTAAAATTTTCACTGAAAAGTCTTATCATTTTAGAAAAACAAGTGTCTTCATAGCCATAGAGTACAAACATCTTATAAAATATTTTTCCATGAAAGAATAGTATTGCTATTAAAAAATTATTAAAAAAGTATTAAAAATTTCCACCCAAAAGCTTAGTTCTGAAACGCAACATTGAGAGTACACACTTGATTACCCCTTAATTAGCCACTATATTTCAACAAATAGCATTAAAAACTGTAAGAATCTTATTAAACTCGGTAGCCGCTGATTCAATGAAACTTTTCCCAAAAATTTTGAGACAAACAAATTGATTAACTATTGTCCGCGCTTTGACGCGAAGAGTTGGTGGCCACCAATGAAAAAGCATGGATGCTTTTTTCACTCAGTCTAGTAATTAAGTTTAAAGAGGAAAAGAGAAAAAAAATCATTTTTTAGCATGGCTTTGTTTCCAAGCCTTCTCTTAGTCGTTGCGACTAAATTCATGTATAAACACAAGCGCAGTTTACCTAATATAAAAATAATCAATGTCATGATAGATGTTCCATGCACAGATAAAAATATCATCAATGCTTTACCTAGTATCTGCAATATATTTATTGTCATGCTAGATATAAAAAAATGAACCATTAGAGTTAAATCATACTGCGAAACCTCTGTATTTCTTGTTCTTCCCTCTAAATGGATGCATTCAGAGCACTCTTTGCATACTAAAAAGAAAAGAGACAATTGGAAAAAATCAGCTTAAAATATATTTCATGGTAATGGGATTTGGCAAGAGAACAAAAATAATTGTTTATCATCAATATAGTTCCTCTCTTGATTAGAACCAAAGAGAACGACGATTTTTTCAGTTCCTTGGTTTCAAGAGGCTTTTAATCTGACCTCATCCAAGACAACATTCGCTAAATGATTGAAAGGGGTACGTTTGTAAAAAAACTGTGGTGCTGCGTTGGTGGGACTATTACAAGATAATTTGATCTTATCAACTGAGTTAATATTGTAAATTGGCTACCGTGTAGCGTTTCCAGAGCTGTCGTTTCGAGCGTTAGCCCCTCGTCAAAGCGAATGACGAAGGGCGAACGACCAAACCGATGGCAAATTTACATCATCAACCCAGTAGATAATTAACAACTATTTATGGAGGTGGAGGCTAGTGGTGGAGATTTATCTCTCCGTTTCGCGGTTCTGTGACTATCGATGAATAACGAAGAATATTCGGAGTTTGAGTAGCCAATCAAGGCACTCCTTCAACTCAATCCACGAATTTTGTATATATTAAAACCAAATTACCGGCAACCGTATATGATGGTCTTTTGCTTCTTCAGCATCTTACAGTTACAAACTTAGCTATGTTACCCCTTCTTATTCATTAATTATTTACTTATCTATTTATTTATTTATTTATTTATCTATTCATTTGTGGCGTTTGGTAATGTGGAGGGGATTCTTCTGAGTGCTCTGACTTGTAAACACTCGTCATCACCACACCGTGTTCTCGGATCCTTTTGAAACCAAATTTACTTAAATGACTGGGCAGAAATCAAGCGTGTCTACCTCTGCACTCGAACTCTTTCGCTTGGCCGCACCTGTTGTAAATTTGATTAATTAGACTGATTGCTTACGTGTCATTTCTTTATCTTTTGATTGGTCAGAGGTCGTGGGCATAAGCTTTCTTTGCCTTGGGACACGTCTTAACAACACACTTATAACGCTTGAATAGGGCAAATTCCATTCATGCAAATTTGAGGAAATTATTGTTCACCACTCGCTCATTTTCTTGGATGTTTTTGAAGTCTTGGCAGAAGTTGTGCCAAAGGTTTGTAGGAAAAAAAATGGAAATTTAACGTTTTTGCCTTTTTGTTCACGGAGAGATTCATCCCTCAAAATGAACAAAAGAGACGGACACGGAAAGATTGTTTGTAGCTGAATCGAATTTGAATCTGGCTGCAGTAAAATTTGCCGTTGAAATTTATGAAAATTTGGTGGATTTCGCGAGTTTGTGCTATTCCAGCTCAATTTCTGCCAGCTTTCTGTTTCTATAAATGTCTTCCCGTTATGTACAGAGGGGCTATATTCGGTCTTCGATTGATTCCTCCCACTCTTCAGTTTACTGTTAACTCTTTCAAGCGCTTGTTGGACACGTTTTGGCAAGCCAACGACTTAATGTGACGCTTAGTGAAATAAAGCTTTTCTAGGCTCTGTAATCACTTCAATTATGACAAACTGATCAATTTTCGTAAGCTATAGTAACGTACATTTCTTAAGTGGCAAGTTTTCGAAAGAGACAAATTTGAAATTTGTTGAATATAAGAATTTTCAAGGGGCTAGCACTAACTGCAAAATGCCCAGTGAGCATTTTACTTCGTTTTAACCAGATTGTATGGTGTAATTGTTAAGAGTAAAATAAAACGACAAAACCGTACCTTATTTAAAGAGTGGGTGCCATTGCGTGACAACGCGCTCAGATCCCGTCACGACTTGATTCCAATGATTTTGCTGCTCATGACTACTGGACTGTTTTCCAAAGCAAACTTCTCCAATATTCTCTCTCTTTCCTCGCCTCTCTGTCATACGGAACAGCGTGAAAACGACGGCGATGCTGGACAGCTTGTCGTACGTCACGCGAAACATAAACATCTCGTTGAATTCTGCATCGATAACGTGTTTCTTTAGCGAGGTTCGACATACGCGTAACACTTGGTTGTTATCTCCAATCAGCTTCATTTCAACCGCGAGGTCTTGCGGTTTGGAGTTGTTGAGGAGACCCAGATGGCGGGTTTTTATAACTTCAGCAATCAGCTTTCTTGTCAAGGAACGGTATTCCAGAGAGAGTAAAATTTCAGGTTTGGAATCTTCTGACGATGTCTGCCCGTTAGCGCCCGTGACAGACTCTATGTAGCGGGAGTCAATGGCGTAGGTCTCGGGAATATTCAGATCCAAGGCGATTTTAACCGCCTGTGGAGTGAGATTTATTTCTCCAAGGCTCACAACTCCCTGGCCAATCAGATGTTTGGACATGGCGCGGTGGTTGTACAAACGAAACCTGAGGGACATTGTTTTGATTTTCTCTTTCGGCGTCAGAGTCATTGTAAACGGATCCTTGAACTTCTTTGGACGCGCACGGAAGCTATGCTGATGAATGGGTAGTAGAGTGCAACTCACCTCTAGATCATCCATCTTCCACTTCTGGAACGGAGGGAATTCTACTCCCAGTAGAGTCAGGGTCAGTTTGGATGGTGCAGGATCATACACGAACTGCAGATTTAGTCGTCCGCCTGTCCCGACTTCCCTGGTAATTTTCGAAGGAGTGCCATTCTCTTGCATAACTTGAATACTCGCGGGCGCGTTTAAGGTGGAATCCTCCTCGCTTCCCACAGTAGACGGCGCTGTTGATGCAGTATTCGCTTCTTCATAGCTGGGTCTGTAATCGTCGCTTGGTGAAACCGCAGGCGCCGACTCCGGCGGAGTTGCCACGTATTCAAGTTCCAAGTCACTAGTTTTGTCAACAACTTTTCCCTTGTCTTCCAAAGCTTCTTTCCCTTTTTCTATTGGGGCGTCTGGCTGGTCTTTTGCCACAGATTTTTTCTGCACTTTTGGTCTGTTCGTCTCTCCACTAAGGCAGCACCGCCACAACGAGAATATAGAAACAGATTTTTTCGTTTCTTTCACTTCTTTCTTAGACATGATGAAACTTTCTGTCACTGAAGTGAAAAGCTTACTTGCTCTTAAGGAATTTCACTTTCAACAAGCCTTTTAACTTAACTTTGAAAACGTGAACCTCTTCGCCTAAAGTTTGCGATCGGAATTTTTTAAAACAAAACCACAGACGATGGTGTTTATGTCGAGGATCGTTTGCAAATAAACACACGGCGAGCGCACGTAGGAAGAACGACAAATTCTATCGTCATCTAAACCTCAGTCATAAATTTGACTTGTTAATAAGTTTAACAATCTTTGGCGCTCTTTTTGTTGGCAAGTTATCGCTTTGTCTATTGTTTCGGCACCAATAAAATTCGACTAAGGACACCCCAAAGCATTTACTCAGTGGTCGTTTGCCTCACATGAATGACTCTTTTCTTTAGATCAGCATTTACTCAGAAATCGTTTGCCTCACGTGAATGACTCCATTCTTTAGATCTATTTGTCATTCAAGCGTTTGCTCAACGGATAGGAATCCGTTTCAAAAACGGTTAAATTCTCGTTTAGAAAAAATCAAACCCTTGTTTGAATTTCAAAAGAGTAATACATCCACTCAAGTTTGTCGATCAAAAGTTTGCTTGAAATCAGAAATGCAATAAAAAAAGACTACAACCCTATTTCAACAGAAATTATGATACTGTGCTTGCAATTTTAAGATTCAAAAGAATTCATTATTTGTCGGGCGTAAAAACAGCTGTATACAATAGCGAAGATGAGATAAATTGCTCCAAAATACCACATCTCAAACAATCTTATGCGACAGCCTCGGGGGCAGGAAATGGGAATATGCTTACTTCAGATTCATTTGTTTGTTATGTCAACCTTTTTAAAATGACTAGCCGCTCAAGGATTGATCAAAATGTGTAGTTGAAAAGATTGTTCGAAAATAACTGCTCGGTTATAGTAGTTTAACCGATTAAACTTTCAAATTTTGGTCTATTGTTACCTCGGCACAGCAAATTGCAACTACTGTTATATTAAAGTTAACTCTCTTTTAATTACAATTAAGTCAAAAACGCACGCTGTTACACAATTTCGTAGGAAGCCACTTCAGCGTTCACTTTGCGTCAATAAACTGTAAACGCACGAATCAGCTGAATTAAATTCTTTTTTGTCCTGCAACGCCAAAGCAATGAAACAAGCCCTGCTAAAAAAAAGATTCGCCATCAATGAAATCTAAATGCTTTTAGGCAATGTTAACCCTTTTTAAATGTTTTCGGTGTCAAGTCAATTACCAAAATTAATGACAAATTCCGCCTGTCTCAGTAAATCAGCATTTAATAAGTTCCATTGGTTTGCACTCTGTTATAGAGTCTTACAAGTACTAAAAAAATATTTCACGGCGAGTTTTGAATTAACACAATTTTGTTGAAATTAGGGAAGCCTTGAGATAAAATCGGGCTCAAACCTGACTCAAATTAAATCTAATAATTCCTCAAACAAGGTATCCGTGAGCGGAGGCGGGCATGATAAGTCAAAGGCACTTTTTGCATTTTGTGTAAGCTTAAAGGATTTGAACCACGTCTTGGCGGTTTCACCACCCGATTCTATTTTTATTGAGCTTACAAAAATCCCACAGCTACGCACACTATAAAGCATTATAATGTAAGAGGTTTAACCTAGTGTCAAACCATACAATTTCGTAAGCATTGTTTCATTCAAAAGTTAAAAAAACTGAAATATTACGAGCGCTCTGATTGGTCAAAAATCTTTCGTTTATTGTACCTGTAAACCAGTAGAAAGTTTATAAGTTTACTTTATTTTAAAAGTGTTATTTTGATACTTTGTGGATCGCTTGCCCCGAGCTCTTGATTTACAAACGTTTCGCGTGTTCTTTCAACATCCTGCATGGGTTATAACACCGATAAAACAATAGAAAATGCGGTTTATTGCGTAAGAATCAAATAAATAGACACTTTAGTTGTTTCCTTCCTGGAGGCTCTTGGAAAGGATGACGTCAAGTTCGTGTCAAAGAAATTACTTCCCTCCGCCAACGAGCTAGCTTCAGGCTACATTCCACTGGGTCAATGTCAACATTAGAGAGTTCGGGCAAAATTTTGGTCATGAAAAAAGCAGAGGGTGAATAAGGGAGTGAGGGATTTGGGCGGGTTGCGTACCGACGTGTTCATTCTACATTTGTTGGAAAAAACGTCTCAAGTGGGGAAAAATTGGAGGGAGTGTGTTGAACAAGAACGCAGCAAAATCATCCAATCTAGAACGCTCGATTAGCAATTAGCAAAACATTACTGATTCTCTTTCATAATTTACGTTCAGTTTATGACAAAAAATATTTTGTAAGGTGTGAAACTTCTTCATTACGACCACCACTGGTCAACTGAAGTCGTCTTCAGTCTTACAAGAATTCTTGACTAGTCACTTGATTACCGAAGTCCTGGATTGCACGTGTATTTCTGGTGTTACTACATTTCTCGATTGTTTTAGAAATCTCACCTTAGCCAATCGACTAATCAGATGCAAGACTAAACCCATCGCGACTTCGTCACTCACGTTTCCCCGCGCTTGTTTGCTTGTTTTTGCATTGGGTTCTCATTGGCTCCTTCTGATATCTATCCTTTTGATATATGTTTGCTCTGATTGGCTGTTGCAAGGACTATGATTCGAATTTTGTGAGCACGAGCGGAAAGCACCGTGAGGTTGGCTAATCTGATCAACAAGGCTCTAAAAGATTTTCATGCCCGCTTTAGCAATGAGAAGCTCAAAAGTTTTGGTGCTTTACGATGTCAATTTTTCAATCTATAACAACTCTCAGTTCGAATTACATCGTCGTAAATTACCATTTAATTCAAAATATTGTCTGTTACAGATGAGATTGTCAAGGTCGAGTGAAAACATTTTTCACAGCAGATCAGCAACAGCCGTTTTTCTGAACAAAATTACGCGGAGTGGCCACGGCAGTAGTCTTTATGGATTCTTTGTGACAAATACTTTAAATCTCTGCAATTGTCCCATCGTTTCTACTCGCTGCTCTGATTTTCTAACTACATTAATGAGTTCGTTTTGCAAACCGAAAGTTAAACATTATTATTGCCGGCAGTTTCAGTAGGAGGACCAAGGCTTGTCATCTGATTGGTTCCTGTTCTTTCCCGGTATTCACCTCTACTCGCGGTGATTTCATCCGTTCCTGACTCAAAACAACACCAGCTGCAACCAAGTAAGCACTTCTTGGGAGGTTTAAGAGGCGAAACAGCGTAAATAACAGTACAGGCTAAACCAAACTCCGTTAAACGGAACAAAGTTTCATGAATAAACCATGGCCAGGGAGCCAACTCCTTGTCTTTATTATACACATACACATATTCTATGACTTCCACTAAATCGTAGATTTTTAACGCAAATAATGCAATGCAGAAAAATACTGTCAATGTAGTAATGGTAAAAACTTTGCGTACTGCTCTTCTGTTAAACGAGGCCTGACGCATGCGGTGTGCGGTACCAATAGACATGGTCGATGCCGTCATGGAACTTGGCATGGTTGCTCCGTGTTCTCTGTTCTCGCGAACGACTTTCCAACCAGTTTTGGTAATACGGATACCCGTGAACAGGGTCATGGATAGAAGATACGCGGTGCAGACCATGTATAAGGCAGAGGTACTTTCCACCAAAGCAGTGACCACATCTGCTACAATAACAACACTGAAATGCCCGATGATGACAAGAACGAGAAATCGAATCCTTCTCAGCTTAGAGTAAGTCAGCGGTGTGGTTTTCACGCTGGCCGTGAATGTTATTTGTATCAGAGCAAACGCCGCCATGAAACAAGGAAATCCCAGACCAAAGATAATCCGGTGAACATACAAAGGTATGACAATATCTGCTTCATTTAAGTTTGTTGTTACCTCGTACGGGAAAAGTACCAGCGCGAGTGCCCGAGTGATCCCGAGAACTATTAACAACGAGTGCACAGCGTAGGAGACATTACGGGATACTTTTTCCCGAACTTGCCGCCGTTTTGAAGCGGCGACGAGCTTCGCTGTGGAGTATACGGCAAGTCCCAAAAATAACACGACAAATGAGATCCAGTGCAATTCCCAGCCCCATTTAAAAGTAGCTTTCGCTTCTTCCCAGTCCGGCACAGGTTCTGAGTTAAGGGGTCTGTGATGTTTTGTCTCAGATTCAAGATTTAAAGGAGTATTGTTGCTATTCGGACTTACTGCTACATTCAATGTGCCATTGAAACGGGCCTGATGCAAGTTACTCGCAAGGAGCGACATGGTGTTGGATCAACCTGTTGAAATGAGGCAAAAATTAGAAACAAAGGATTTTTTGGGACTATGAGAAGCTGGACACAGGCCACCATTGTTTTCAATTGAAATTTGAACATTATTGAAACTGGTTTTTATGCAGCGAATGGATCGAACGAATCCTTTGATACTTTCTCCATTTTGCGACCAAAAAATGCGTTTGTATAGGTGCAGTAAAGTGTTTACGATTTTGTCTTTAAACTCTTGAGAAAATGAGTGTGGTAAATTAAAAGTATTTTCTTGTGCCCTTAAAAAGAGCCGAGACTATGCTGAAGAATTCCAGCAGGAACAGTGCTAAAATCATACGAACAAACACGATATCGTACCTTCAGAAGAGCAACACAGGTTAAAAGCCACAGTAACAACATAAAGAAATGCCACCCAAATGAAGAGAGAAATGTGGACCGTGTACACTTTCTCAAGCGCTGAGTTTGGTTCTGATTTGATTTTGCCGACCAGATTTACTTTATATCTCAATTGACGTTATCAAGGACTTCAGTACGTCAAAGTTTCAAGAGAAAAATATTGCCACTTGGCATCTTGCTGTGGAAAAATAAGTCACTTAGCTGTCGGAAATTTTCTCATGAACAAATATCTCTAGACTACCGAATATTGGTCACATCGCTGGTCGAAGATGCAAGGGGGCTGAAGCATGAAAAACGATGCTAAATACCAAAAAACTATTAAAGATTCAGGTTTTAGTCTCTCTTGAACAAAATAATTTTGAGGAAAGGAACTACATCACTTCTTTTGCCACTGGAGACCAAAAACGCCCAGACCAAGCGTTAAACTTTGCCGATTGTTTCAATCAATTCGATTTACTTAACCAAGTCACGCGATTCATTTTCACAAATAATATCGCTGCTTATGTTTATCTTCTCTGAAATCACATCATCATCGTACAATTTATGAGTTGTTTACGCAATGCAGCTTCGCTCATTTCTGTTGTGAAGGTTCTGGTTGTGGCGCGGTCGGAGTGACTGACAACAAGATATTATAATCTCTCGCTGACAAAAATTGTACTAACATGAATAAAAAAAAAATTGGTTGGAACTGCGAAAAGAACTAAAAGTATCACTATAGTAATTTCGGATACACTAATTTGTAGTTCTATAGAAAATGCACCGCAACCGCAAACTTGCTCTAACTAAAAAGAAGGTCACTATTTATTCCTACGTGTCAGAAACGGCAAAGACGAGGGCTAAATGTTTTAGTCTTTGACTGAAGATCCTTTCCGACCCAATTCCCTATTTTGCTCATGGTTTCCACGTCCTGTACTTCAAAGTTTTCGAAAATCGATAATTGTCTGTTATTTATTTTGAATTATTTTGTTTATCCATTGTAATTTCTGTTGTGTGGACAAAAGAACGAACGAAGGACAAAAGGAAGGAGAACATCTCTATCAGTAAACAAAACAATCACTTATCAGGGCCAAAGTTTTTAAAATAAACTTTCTTCAGGAATTGAAATGGATAAAAAGTATGAAAAAAAAGTGTTAAAAATATTTAGTATATTTTCATTAAAAACATTTCGAGCCAAGTCATTGTCACATGAATAATGAATCGTCATGATTAGCTCTTAATGACCAGCTTATTAGAGAGAAGGAAATTTCCATATTAATCATCGACCTAATCATGGATAACCGCAGTACCTCCATTAATAACTCCTGTAGAAATTCCTGCAGCAAATTTCTCATTCATAATTTCAGCTGAGTAATAAATCGCAATATTGCTCTCATTTCCTTACTCTAGAATGAAAAACTCATAAATCAAATTTCTCTTCTGCATTTCATCATCGTATCATCGATTACGTGGGAAAACAGGTGGCATGAAAACAGTTTGTCTACCATCCTTGACTTTTATAGCCTGTTCCAGCCGTTCAGTTGATAAAACGGAACGAAGCACTAAACGGTCCGATACTAACATACTAACAGCAGAGCGAAAACGAGGGAGGAACTGGAACAGACTATGTCCTTTAAGGCACGATTCTTAAAGAGAGAACAACATTCAAAGCAATGGAGTGAAAGTAGGGGGGCCTGGGGGTGGACAAAAGGCACGAGGAAAGTTCCGCTCTCACGCCTAATTAATCAGGATGATTTGGTGAACGATTTTGAGCTTGTTTCTCTAACTCTCTCTTCTTAGAAGAGCACATTTCGATTGACTGACGTAAAAGCAAATCCAAATACTACACACAGGCAACAGAAAAACGGAGACTATTAGAGGAGGCAGTGAGAGCATAAACCGCTTAAAACACGCGAAATCGTGATTGACAAAGTCGCGATTGGTTTTGACTCTGATTGGTCGGAAGGGTGACGCGAGTTTCCTGGACCAATCACAGTGCAAAGTTACGCATATCCAAAGCTCTCTGGGTTAAATTCGACAAACATTAGAAAATTGCTTTGATAATCCTGCACCTCAGGCCACAAATCTCCTTTTCGCCCTGCCCCAGCCTAACCCGTTACACCTCAGGAGGGCAGAATGAATCTATCCAACTTTAATTTATCTTTCAGTTACTCCAGTATTACATCACAATCACATCCACTGCTTACAACATCGTTCAAAAGTGGGTACTTCTGCTACCGCACTACGAGCACAGCTATTCCTATGAATGAAACAAATAAAAAAAAAACACAGCACGCAGTTAAATATTTTAATTACATTCGTATATTTGGACATTTAATTCTACGTATTCCACAGAAATATATTCAATAACTTTTTCATACAATGAAAGAAAACAAACTGTTGAAACGCAAATGAACAAATGCAACAACTGTCTGGAAATGTTACACTTTCTAATAAGTCGCCAATTGCCCCTCAAAATGAATTCTTCCTCGCAGAAGTAAATAAAAGTGATTTTCTCTCATTAACAGCACCGCGCAAACAAATTAGTTTATTAATTACCCAATAACGTTTTCGCAATAAACAAACAAATGATGCTATTTGAATGGTAACGTCAGCAGTATGGTAATTTCAAGTCATAAGTTTTTCTTTATACACAATAAAATCCAATATTTGATAGTAATATTCAGCATTTCACTTCAGAAACTGAAGGATCATTTAAATCCTCAAGATCTTTATCCACTTCGCTTCTTGCTGTAGCCACTTCTTCTTCTGTCAATGTGACCCAAGGCTCTTTCTCTTTCTCTTCACTGCTCTCGCCTTTCTTGTCCTGTGCTGCATCCCCTTCGTCCTCTTTCTCCTCTTCGTTTTTCTCATTGTCTTTTTCCGTTTCGTTTTCAGGTTGTTTTTCTTCAGGCTTGTTTCCTTTATATTCGTGCGTGTAGAGTGGAACAAAAGACTCAAAGAAGCCACATTCTTCCGTAAGGTTCGGTAAAAGCCAGAAATGGTGCTTTCCTGCCGTCAAAACCCAGACGATTGCAAAGAAAACATACCGCACTGGAAAAAACAAGACAAAAGAAAAGGCACGTTTAGAAAAGGGGAATTACAGTCTCCTGCCTAAGCCTACGTAGCTGGCAGTGTCCGGGACCTCGATTAAATCAATTATGGTGGCGAAGCTGCGAAAACGAAAAGGGGAGCAGGATTATGCTTCTCTATCTCGATGGCTGCTTTACCGTTCATTTGGTGCCTTTGCTACCCAAAGCCTCCACCGCTATAGAGCTACTTATTCTAAAATGTCTCTTCTTTGTTTTCTGCAAGCATCTTTTGATGACCAATGATCAGAAGGACACAGCCTCGACTTGGAAGATGAACTCACAAATACGATTTCCAATCTAACACTGGCCGCCAAATGACACACATTTTGACTTATTTAGTTTTTTTAAAAGATAAAACCACATCAGGAGAACATAAGGAATAAAAATCCACAAAATAAAAAAAATTAAAATCATTACTTAAGGCAACTTACAAAGGGCAAGAACCAAAATCGAGCCCACAGCAATTGAAGCCAACACACTCAAATACCAAACATACTCCCGGATGTTACTGGGCCACAAAGGGAACAGACAGATGGCAATGGTACCAATCACTGATAAACAAATCAGAGAAAAACGATGGTCAAAAGAAAGCTTAGTGAAAGCTTATTGCCCCTTGTGTGCCACTTTACGATCTTACCTTATTTTAATGTCATCTGTGATCTATTGTTGAACAGACGCAAGGTTACATGAAATTTCAATAGAATTTCTGTGATTGCTAATTAAAGACGTAAACTTTATCAAGTCTAACACAGCTGACTGACTGACTGAATTGAAAATACTTTCGACACTAGCCGGTAGTTTGAATAAGAAAAATGACGTTTTAAAGGAGCATAAAACAAATAAGCTCTAAAATTATTTAACGAGCTAGCAAACAATCATTTAAATACTTCTACGGACTCATTCTGACCACCAGTTGACCGACTGACCAACCGAACGACGGCTGACCGATCGAACGACGGCTGACCGACCGACCGACCGACCGACCGACGACTAACTGACTGACTGACTGACCGACTGAATTACGGACTGGCATTTATTAGCTTAACATGGCCTTACGTGTACAGAGACACAACTCAAATGATTGTTAACTGACCTGACAAACATACTTACCAACCAAAATTCCTAAGATGAAAGTCCTAGGATGAAGGGGGTCAAACCTCCACACATAAGCCTGAAAAAGGTATGTAACGGCAGGATAAGCGAAAAAAACAGTTTAACGGGAAAAAGTTCAATACGACAGATGACAGATAAACAATACACGATTAACCATTTATAACCTAACATCAGTAAGCATACTCTCCAAACTGTTCTCTATACATTTCCTAAGATGCTGATGAGGAGAATTTCTTTAACAATCATGAGCTTCTTTACTTGGTGATCATTTCTTGTATTCTCATGACCATAATGTGTGATTCAGGGGTGAAATTGTAAGGAGAAATTAGATGCTAGTCACTCTTAGGGGTTAAAGGGTTAATAAAAAAATACAGAAAATCTTCGTCTTATGGGCAACGATATCTATGCAACTTTAAGAGGTACAAGGCCACAACTCATAATATTTGATTACATTTTAGATGATGCAATTATGATTTTAATATTCAACAAACTTCCTAACCTCGTCATCATCGTCAACAAATATCTGATCTTCATGTAGCTCCAGTTTTACTTTCACCTAAAAATAATAAAACTGCTGTAAGTTCTCAACGAAGTCTACATCCTCGTACTTTTGGCATTTTGCAACATCTTCCACTGCTAATTAGGGTTGCTACTTTTAGTATCTAAATGTGTATTGTACTTTAGCTGTCTGATGCTGAGTCATATTGTTAACATAAACAGACTTGTGTCCACGCCCCAGCCAAAGAACTATCATAATTTGTCAACAAAACTATATTGTATTTAACATTTCCAGAATCGAGAATCGATTTTCGAGAAGATCGAATGATTTCTAGAGGACCTTCAAAAAGAGAAAACCCATGTACAGCTGTGATTCTCGAACACGGAACAGTAACAACAAAGGGTAGGTAAATTTCGGTTAATTCATAACTTGATTAGTGCATAGAGAAAGACTTATTCACTGATGATATCACTGATGTATTTTGACTTGTTGGGGGGGGGGTGGGGGGTGGGTGGATAGAAAACTACCATAAAAGAGAAAACTGGCGTCATTACTGTTATGCTTCGTTGGCGTCATTATTGTCATATCTAAAATGTAACTCGCATCTTAACGATAGAAAATGGTTTCAGTGCCTCAGCAAGTTTTCACACAAGATACACTGTACAAGTGAGTTGAAAAAGGACAGGGAGGGGTAGGTGGGGTTTGAATAAAGATATGGTGAGGAGCTCGCGGGACTTCAATCCCCTCAGTTCCCTGACATCTTCTCCCCCCTTTCCCACACCTTTTCGCTCGTGCACACGGACCAAGAGCCAGCGACAGGCTCGAGGGGGTTTGTACGAAAGCCGGCCGGTTACATGACTTCACTTAAACCATTCATTGTGTACCAACCTTTCTCTTCTTTTTCCCCTCGCCATCTCCATTTCCCTCAGTTGCCTACATCATTCAACAAAGAGAACATACCATTAACCTTTTACACCCCAACATTAGTGTTCATATCCTCCACACTGATCCCTCTACATTTCTTGTGGTACTGACAAGGAGAATTTGTTTGACAATCAGGGACTTCTTAAAATGGTGATCATCTTCTTTATTCTCGTGACCTTTACATTTGATTCCAGGGCAATACTATATGGACAATTAGAAGCCACTACCTTGAAGGGGTTAAGGGGTTAGACCCTATATACTTTCCTAAGACTTCAGATGATATCTTGGTTTTCTCATAGCAGGTTACAGTCAGGTTACAGTTAAGTTAGTCTGATCATAAACAAACATGCAACAAAATGTTAGAGTCTTTTTCATTTAAAACTGAACAAGAGCAAACAGCATACTTTTGGTTTTCTTTCCTCAGTAGTATCGTCATCCTTAAATATGATTTAAAACATCATTGGTTAATGGGCTTGGTTAAAGATTGTGAATGAGACAGCCACTAGGAGGCTGATTGCACTATCATACAAGAATAAGACTCATACAGAAGTACATAATTAGAAATCATTACAATTTGTGACAAAAAAAAAAAACACTGAACGATCAAATTACTCAATGGTAACAACAATGCTTGAAAGAAAATATGTGTACTTATGTTTCTCAATGTTTGCATCTGAATCGTGATTGCAGCAGACATTGAACCAAAAATATTTGTACCTTGAGCACAGCTGCAATGACGCATGAAGTATTCAACTCAGCTTTGAATAATAACATTTTAGAACTAATTCAATTCCCATCTCAAATGATCATAAATATTACACATACTATTAGGGGTAATTCCATAGTGCCTTCGTAAGTTGGGATCAGGGCATTAGTACATATTATAGACAACTAATCTGCAGTAAAAGACTGATTATTCATTTTAAGGAATGAATGTTTAATTAATTTAATCTTGAATAACTACAAAAGTTCTGTGAAACAAATTCAAGAGTACAAGTGAGACAATCTGAAAAAGACTTCACCTCACAGCATTTTAATTTTGTAAAAAAAAAACATTTAAATCTGCGATGAACCCTCAAAATGATCAGAGGTTGTATGTCAAGTTGAACACAGTCATATAAATGCTACATTTTGAATGCTAAAAATTCAATAAATGCCACAAAATTCATTCCAGTAAACAGAATATACATCCTAAAATAATGAGGGTGCCTTAGATTTCAAGCTCTATTGGACTTTCAGTGAGAGATCCACCTATGAGCCCAAATTGCTATATTGCATTCTATTCCTGGGAAAGACATGTTACTCTTTAAGCACATCCCTCTACCCAGGGGCAAAATTAGAAACAAAAAACTTTCAGCAAAACCTCATGAAATGCTGGGAGTTAACTTGCAAAAGACTAATATTTCACATAAAGGGAAAAGCAATACCTATAGCTGGGTTCATGCCACGGAAACTGCAGATAATGCTCTGGTCAAGTGAACCACTACCTTCATAACTTCACTTTACCTTCCTTTTACAGAGCTTTTTAAAACTTCATACAAAGGCAAATTAGGAAGTGTTGCTAATGTGTATATATATATATATATATGTATAACCAATCAGCATAAAGGTAGTAATTTTGCAAAAAAGACTTGCCTTTTTTCCCTCTTCTGAGTTTTCCTTCTTAGGTTTCTTCTTTGATTTCTTGCCTTCAGATTCATCTTTCTCCTTTGTAGTCCCCTTGTCATTTTCCTTTTCCTTCTCTTTTTCTGCCTTTTCTTTTTCCTTTTCTTCTTTCGTCTTCTTTACTTTCTTTATTCGAACAACACGATTAAAGAACCCCAAAATCAACAGCCTTGAAAATAAATAACATTATTTCAACATAACCCCCAATGAAATTCAAGGTGTTGATGTCAATGAGATTTACTGATTAACCCTTTGCACCCTAACATCAGTAAGCATATTCTCCATACTTTTCTCTATACATTTCCTCAGGTGCTGACAAGGTGAACTTGTTCAACGATCGAGAGCTTCTTTAGTTGGTGATCATTTCCTCAATTCCTGTGACCTTAATATGCAACTGACTCAGGGGTGATATTGTAAGGAGAGCTTGGCTGATAGTCACTAAGGTCAAGGAATTAAGGAAATTGTAAATGAAAGGTTAGGGGCATGTGCCCTCTAGTAGAACTTGAGACATCTTCCACTTTACTCATATTTTCCTAAAACTGAAAATCCCCCAGTGCATGGACATACCAACCCCCATGTGCTATTAGTAATGTGTAACATTGTTTTCAATTCATTGTTCCTAATTCATGAATTGTTGGTTTGGCTAAGAATTAAATGAATCCTCTTTTATTCATATATTAATCCAGCTGGGAGTAAAAAGAGAAGAAAAAAGTTCAATAAATTAAAAATCTGTCATATTTTAAGGTAGCATACTTATCCAGATAGAACTCCACAGATTCCCGGTCTGTAAACAATATCTCAGTGCCTCCTTTGCCAGAGGCCCACTTGGAATCCATCAGACAATCTATTGCCTTAGATCCTAGGAGTATAAAAAGGAAACAATGGCTCTTAGTCCTATTGAACTCTATTTAACACTCCATATTCAGCTGTGTAGAAAAACAAAGGGGATGAGTTTCAAAAGTAACTGTGGTGCCGTGTCCCCTTGGGGTATTACAAGATAAATTTGGTTTAGTCAACTGAGTCGATAATGAAAATTGGTCACAGTAAAGAGTTTCCTGAGCTGACATTTTGAGCGTTAGCCACAAACTGGTTCTTCCTTCTCATCAAGGAATTGGTCACAATCAAATTTGCTTTACTCTCAACATGTGGCTTAGTAACTTAGTAAGTTGGTATTAACATTCAACTAATATCTGGTTGGCACTGGTTTAAATTTTGTCAGGCACCATTCTATAATTTCTTCCAATGCAGTTCACCTTTGAAAATCATTTCTTCATTTAAATAAATGACATATTTGATCATTCATCTCACAGTGTAGAGTAAGGCCATCAAATGTAATAATTTCGACATTCCAACTAACATACTGCTGGTCTTCATCAAGTGTCAGGGTCAAAAGTTTACATGTTACTATTAATAGCACCTTGGTTTACTGTTATTGGTGTGCTTTTGCACACTATCATTGGGGCATTTTGATCCCTATTATTACTCCAACTACTAGAGGTTGTTGCCTCATAGATCTACTATGTCACTGATTAGCAGTTATGCTGAGCATCCATGTTTTGGGACTTACAATTCTGTTTCTTACTATTCTATCTCTATTGATGTTATTAGGATGAAGTCTTATGTGGATGGCTTTTTTGAACCCAGTGAAGGCCAAGGTCTATAAACTGAACCTGGTTCCAAACAGGAAAAGTATGCCAAAACACACCAATCACAACAAGCTAAGGTGCTCTTACAAGCGACTCTTTTGACCTAGTCACCTAGCCTAGACCAACAGTATTGTATTCAAAACATTGTCATAGTCTGACCAAACAGTTAAAATTTTCATTGCACTACAATACCACAATGAACAACATTTTTTGAAATTTTGAATTTTTCTTGAAAGGACAAGACTTGAAACTTAAGGAAAGAATTTTGGTGGGAAATAACTTTGATTCCCAAACATTTTGATCAAAAATAACATTACAATTCTTAAAAATACCTTGTTTATAAATGGTAAAAGCTAAATTAATTGGTCATAATACAAATTGGGAATTAACAATAATTGTAAAACACAGAAAGCGTTCAACTGTAATATATCACAAAGTTACCAACGAACAGAAAAGGCCAAAAAGGCATCATTAAATATTCACACAAAAGATGTACCATAATGAGGAGATTTGTGGTTCAAAGAGTAATAAAAAGACAGGGAATACCTGGTACATTTTGTGTTGTATGAGCCGAGAGAAGGTTAGCATCTCCCTCGATAAGGACGAGAAAAGTCTTCGGACTTTCAACCTACAACACATGGTTAAGGCTTTGCCACTTACTTCGTGGCATCTAACCAATTTTTGCAAAACTCACTGAAGATCGAGACAGAGGCAAACACGTAATTGCTCACGATCAAAATATTTCGTTTGTGTTCATGGTCGCTCACACTCTCACTCACTCCACCGATAACTCTGAGCAAAACTCGAATCCTTAGATTCAATATTGTTATGGAGAAAGGTTTCAACAAGATAAATTTCAGAGGGAAACATTCGTTCTTTAAAACACTGAGTGACCATTGAATTAACTGAATTTTAAACTTCTAATTTTGTTGTTTGCTGTAAATGCATTTACGAAGCTTATTTTCAATACGTATATACAGGGAAAAGCTAGAGGTGTTTAGCTCTGTGAAATAAATAAATGGAATTGCATCATATATTTGAAAAGCGATACTTTCTCTTTTGGGAAGAACAATGAAGCCTAAATAAGATCGTTCCTTACCGATGAAATATTCAACTTTTTCACCCATCATCGTGGACGGCTTTGAAGGGCAGTTCCATCTCAGATATTTTCCAATCTCGTTTTCTTCCTTGGACGGTTCTTTTGAGTCATCTCGCGCCTAAATTTGAAGAGATTGAACGCGTTTTATTACTATAAGTCAAATACCTCTCTTCCGTTGGCAAAATTCGGTCAAATACGACTTACGATACGCAACAAACAAGAAACGCACATCCTACGCCGGGCCAAGGGTCGCAACATTTACGTTTCTTTAAACAAATATCGCGATAGAAATGAACAGAAGACAAGCTAAAATGAACTTACCTCTTTCTTTTTTCGTTTCTTCAAAAACTTGTGTTGATCACCCATATTTTTCCAAGAAGAACAAATACAGATTCTGGTCAGGGATATGAACAAACCATTCAAGCGTTGTTCTTCTTCCTGTGATCGGAAACGACCGACGACGAACGAGCAATGACGGAAAGTATCGGAAATATCCGACAGAAACGACGGCGTTCGGATGGAGTCACGCAATCTACTTACCTAAATCCAGAAGAATAAAAATTTTAATTTTTAATCACACTTAAGGAGCGTTCTATTGAATATCAATATTTTGATGATCAGTTGTACCTTTTCGGGCTGGAGTGAGGGGCAGGTTGTGATTCTGTATCATCAAAGTGCGGGAGAGGAGAGTGATGGGAAAAAACCAGTAAGGGAAACTAATTGAGAAAACAAGGTAATTCAGTATTATAAACTGAGTCGATAGCGTAAATTGGCCACCGTAAAGAGTTTAAAAGCAGACGTTTTGAGCGTTAGCCCTTCGTCAGAGTGATTAGAGGAATTGTGGGACGTGTGTGGATTTATATGCAGAAAATGGACATACGCTGTTAGTGGGAATATGGTAACGAGATAACTAGAATAACTTAGTTGAATGAAAAACGCTCGTCGATACCGTGGGGATTAAGAATGCCGATTTGAAAGATAAATTTTTGTCCTAGAGTTTTGCGGCTTTCCGAACTGCCTAAATGTACGGAAAGGCCGCAAACTGCCATATACTGCTTGGAATGGTTAGGGAGATTAAAGTGTCTATCGACTGGTTTGGATGCGTCCTTGTTATTTCTTTCCACGTCGCGAAGGTGTTCTCGGAATCGGTCACCAAGTCGTCTTCCTGTTTCACCAATGTGTAACTTTTAGCAATAAGTGCACCACCACTGACGCACTACCAAGTTTCTTTAGAAACTTACCCCCTTTATTAATTTAAGAAAAAGCAATCTCGAGCCCAAGGTCATTTCGGCTCCTTGTCAGCGGATAGTTGACTTGGGCTCGAGATTGGAGAACAAGGGATTTGTAAAATATGGCCAGCTTTTCTCCTTTTGATGTCTCAAATGGCAAATAAAAGAATAAGAGCTCAAGTTCTTTTACCCTGTACCAATTTATTTTACATACCACGCTTAAACTACCTGCCATTCTGGATCTCTCTCGCCCCCCTCCCCTCTTCCCCTCCCTCCCCTAAGACAACACGGAATGCTATACAGACTTCTACACTCCGATTCCACGACATCTGATCCTGATCTTCGGTCGATCAGGGGAAACAGGATGCCAATTTGCGTGTCACCTTCAATTACTGTCCCAGCTGTCCTAGATAATACCCCCAGTATCCCAGGTATTCCAAGTGTCACTGCTGTTCTAAGTGGCACAGCTGTCCGGTTATTTTTAAACCAGCTTACAACTGTTTTGTTTCAATTGGAAAAACAGTGGAGAAACTATCAGAGAAATTCTAATCCTATGCGTCGATAAATAAGGGGTTATCTTGGAAGATTAAGAACAAGTTTCAAACTTTCAGCGTCTAATAGCTTGCTATAGATTACGAAATTCTCATGACCAAGGTTTGGTCGGTAATCTGGTCATTACTCTTTCCCAAATTTTGGAATCAATCCTTTTAGGGCTCATGGGTAACGCGGAGTTTCCAGTGGAGGAAAATTAGAATTTGTTCCAGTTATTCGAAGATAACATCGGACGTATTTCGAAGTGCTCGATAGGATAAATTTTTGTATTTTTTCGTAGTTCTGTATATTTAGCTCAGTTTAGCAGGATTCAGAAATACTGTAAGTTTTACATTTTTTTCCTATATCAAAGAGGCTACCCCTCATAAAAATAGGTAGAAAAAAGAACATAGATAATTTCATATTTATATCGCCTGCTCTCTGCAATAACAACCCTGCTTATTTGAATCATAGAGAAAATGTAAAGGGCTAAGGACACCTAATCTTGTGTAAGGCCAAAAGAGTCGCGCAGAGGTCACGTGAGATAAGAGACTATAAACAGATAAGGGAAGCTGATATCTCGAAGTGAGAACTTCTTTACCGAGCGAACACGTTCATTCATTCCTCGCGTGGTATAAATTGCTGGGTCTATTTACTCTAATAACAAGCTTGGTTTTCTAAGCCGGAAGTCTGATATCTTAAATGGCTTCGTCGGTTTGTGATGCCGGCCGACTCAAGCTCGTGTGCAAGTCAAAACATCATATGATATAAGACACGTGATTACTTTGATTTTAGAGTACACTTCTCGTGTGGCTTGAGTGATGTTTGGATATTTTTTAAGATGCTTTGCTCTCTATTTTTGCAGGACATATCAGATCAAAAACAACGTGTTGAAAATTACCGTAATTTCACACTATGAAGTCTTAAGATTCAATTTTCAAACTTTCCTGCCCACGCGCAGATATCAGTTCAACTTTTTCTCTTCCCTTAACAGATGAGCCATACAAAGGAGCCTTCCTTCGCTTGATTGATTTTTTGTTTAAAAGTGGCCGCTTTTTCTCTGTGGTATATTTGGGTCATTTGGATTCCGTGAGCAATATACTTAACTCAGCTGGCGTCACATAGCGCGGCGTCAACAAAGACGTGGCAAAAAGAAAAAAAAAAAAAAAAAAAAAAAGCAATCAGAACAACAGCTCAGCACGTGCGTTTTGAAACTTTGTACATTTCTCAGCCGTCCGATCCTATGCAAAAGAAAAACGTGAAATCACCGAAGTTTGCGTGGTCTGAGGGCAGTGATCCAGACGGCGAATTATGTAAGTTTTTAATTGGAACTCAACACTGCCCACATACGCATTGCTGAAGTTGAGGTGTGGCGCCGGAGGAGGAGGCAAACACCTTTAGCCATTTGCGAAATTCTAAGTAAAAGTATTAACTAATTTTTAAAGACGTTTTACTCGGCGTTGTCGTTCTGACTGCTTATTAAGGTCCCTCTGATATTCTAGTGACAACTAAACAATATGGTATGGAGTTGCTGTTTTACTATGAAGTGGAACTTGGTCATCTAACAATGATTTTGATATAGCAGCATTTTTTTACAATCTCAGATTTATTTTTGCCACGACTATGGACTTATCGGATCTTAAATAAATCTCTGACACGTGACCAAGCTTTTTTCCTCACCCCAGTTATGAGTATGTTATTTTCTGTTTCAGCAAATAGGGATTTGATGTACTCTCTAGGTCACCCTTTATAGTCACAATTTTCATTTAGGCTCGTAACTTCAGGGGCTGTCCGTACATATCGTCATTATCATCGTTCTCGATGCGTCTTCAACCCGAGTGAAAATCATGAATAGCTTCTATTGGAAAACTTGGACGAGACAAGGATTTTTGTTTATGTGAGACTGACCTTACATGATTCGATCAGATCAGTGGGCAGTAATTAATAATCCAGATTATTCAGTTAAGATATGCCGCATTTATTACGAAGGTCACCACACCACCGGCACTAGGACACTCATCTTCGTGAATCATTACGTCTAATTTTTATTGTAAGTAAGTGGTTGTTCCAAGGGGATTTTCGGAGTCCCCCTTTCAATCCCAGGAAGCTTTTTGTGGATTGTGTGTCTATCTCGATATCAGTATCACCGACATCCTGTCACTGGCCGGGAATAACCTCCTCTTTCGCCGTTTCCCCGGGAGAGTTTGAGATGCGTCCAGACCGGAACTTAAACTTGGAAACTGCTTCGTCACAAGATAGTTGGGGTCATCAGGTCATTTTGATAAGGTAGAAAACTGAGTCATATTGGAATAAACCTTTTAAATAATAGCTCCCTGCGGTGAATAAATCCTCTAGAATTCTAAGTAAACCATGGCGAAACTAGGATGGATAATGGAGAAGAATGAGATAGGTTATCAGTCTTGAAAAATTTAATGCTAAATTTTGCAAGATATTCAAGCAAGTGACGAGGCTCTTTTGAGTTCCATGGTTCGAACCAGCTTGATCAATATCATTTGCGTCAAGAATTTTTTTCGCTTAATCGCACATTTGCTTGCTAAGATACCGGAGACGATCGAAACAGATTGATTGACAGGCTGGGGCATCCACGCCCATAGGCGAAGAAGACGTAGGTATTTTTTAAGATGTATTGTCTACATTTGCTTTGTAATCTCTTCAACATTTGATGTCGAGTGGATGACAGCATTGCTAAATAAGTAAGACAGTATATGCCCGTGCAAAAATCTCTCACAAGTTTCGATTTCTAGCTCAGGGTAATTAAAAAAACCGACCATTTCGATCTTGGACATATGACTTTGAACATCTCGTGGGATTTAAGTCATTGATAAAATTAACGGTCGGTATTTTTCCAGCATTTTACACCTTTTGCCCTTTGTTGACAAACGAATGTCATGTGATACAATATCAGACTCAACGTCTTTTGCACCCTGCAAATTTGATAATTGAAGTAGTCTTTAGCAGGAATACCCTGCATACAAAATGTTCCGTTTTATACAAAATTTCTTTCTGTTATTAGGAATTAACTAAGCAGGCTTTCATTAAAAGTTTACGGTTCATTAATGTCGTGTGTAACGCTGAATAAACACGCATTCCTGTGGGAAACGTGATAAAATTCATCATCATTTACTTATGTTTACATAGATCAGCTCTTCAAAACTTAATTACCAAATACCATTGATTTCAAGATTGAATTAGTCACGACATCCTTACTAAGACTTCACTACTAACACCTACATTTTACATGGAATTTAAAACTCGCCAAAACACTGGATCAAAATAATACTAAAGTTTTGCGTGTTGTGTATAATAATGTTAAGCCCTCAGGGGTTTATAAAGTGCTGAATCAATTGTTCCTGTGTGACAGACACTAACTAATATCATTTGACCCCTATGACAACTGCCATTCTAGTAGTACAGTGAAGACACTCATATCCACATTACACGGCTCAAGTAGCAGATCACTACCAGCCAAGAGCTTTGCTTGTCTTGTTCAGGCTTGATAAGGTAAGAAATTGTGTTAATAGCGGGTTTACTACTGTAAAGAAACTTCTCGAACACTACATTCAAATGGATTTCTAACAACCCTGCCTCAAACGCGTATTTAGGGGGTTCGATATCTTCTTTAGGTGTTGCATGTAATATTGATTAAGAACCATGATTGCATCGCTAATCTTTTACACAAA